GATTGAGCAATGTTTTTCTCTCCCTCTCTCTTCCTCTCTCTAAAATCAATGAAAAACAAATTCCCCGGGTGAGAATAAAAAAAGAAGAAGAAATGGGCAGTACAGGTTAGAAAATGGTGAGGTCTCTTCTGTTTCCTGACACAAGTGGAAACCAAGATAGAGCAGTGTGGATGTCACTGCCTCAGAATGTTGTGTCCAGGGTATTAAAAAGCTGTTTGGGATCCCCAGTTCCTATTTTTAATATGGACACATTCTTATGTATTGAGATGTCCCAAAATATTGTCATCTGATCCTGATGTTGACTGCAAAGGAGGAGACTTTTCATCAGGCACTCTGTGGGAGAGGATTCAGTGGCAGCCTTTGCAATTTCTCCTTTCCATCTTTCTAAGGAGGATGTCAAAACAGTTGTTAAAGACCTGTCAGCAGGAGGTGAAAGACATGGAATGCAAAACGGAAGAGCCTTACTGAGTGTTGTTTGCTCTTAGCCCTCTTAGTAATTTCCAAGGTCATGCAATTTTCCCTTTTGCCTTAGGTTGGAGAGAAATCCCGGTACTCAGTGGATGTACTTGCTGCCGCCATGGGGGAGCTTTTCCGGAGTGAGGAGATGACGCTGGCCCAGCTTTTCCTACAGTCAGAAGCTGCTTATTGTTGTGTCAGCGAATTAGGAGAACTCGGAAAGGTTCAGTTTCGTGATGTAAGTAATTGTGGGGCTGCTTCTTGATTACCACTGAACTGTAATTTTCTGGTCATGGCCAATTGCCTTATGATGAATGTTTTGCTTTTTTATTTGCAAAAATAACATGACAGCACGCTTACTGTTGACACTTTTTTGAGTTGTCTTTCTAGAGGTGAGATTGTCGTGGGCCAATCCTTTCATGTTTTTACTGGTTCCCCTTTGAGAATAATCCTAAGCATTCTCAAGGTAATTGCTTGGGATGCAAACGGAGGACAGCAAACTAACCTGTTCAAGGCTTCCACTTTACTTTTGGGCTCCTTAACACCCATAGCAGGATCTTAAAAATATTTTCATAGCTTTTCCATACAGCAGGTCATACTTATTATAAGATCTGAAGCATGCAGTTAGGGATATATAGTATGTAAGTAAACGTATACTGTATACCTATTAAGCTGAAGCATTATGCTGGGAAGTTGGAGAAGATATCAAAAGAAAATGGACAACCCTAGACAGTTTGGCTCAGTGGATAAAGCGTCAGCCTGCGGACTGAAGGGTCCCGAGTTAGATTTGGGTCAAGGGCACATGCCTGGGTTGTGGGCTTGATCCCCAGTGGGGGGAGTGCAGGAGGCAGCCGAACAATGATTCGCTCTCATCATTGGTGTTTCTATCTCTCTCTCCCTCTCCCTTCTTCTCTGATATCAATAAAAATATATTTTTTTAAAAAAGAAAAGAAAATGGACAGCCCTGGCCAGTGTGGCTCAATTGGTTGGAGCATCGTCCCATGCTTCAGAAAGTCCCAAGTTCGATTCCCAGTCAGGACACATACCTAGATTGCAAGGTTGATCTCCAGAGGGGCCTCATATAGGAGACAACCAATCGATGTGTTTTTCTCACATCAATGTTTCTCTCTCTCTCTCTTCCATCTTCCCTCTCTCTAAAAAAAAAGAAAAAATCAATAAAAGCAAAATGGACAGTATAAGCGTTTACTAGTAAAAAGTATGCCCTATGGTGCTTACAGTCTGATATTTGCTGCTGAAAGGAGGGGGGAGTAAACAATTCCCTTTTAGGCAATCTCAAAGGTCCATGTACCTCTCATTGACAGCATTCATTATAGTTGTGATTTTACATTCATCAGTGCAAGTAGTTGATTAAAGTCTCCATCTGCTACTCTGATCTAAGTACCATGAAGACAGAGACAGTGACTATCTTATCCTTACTGCCCACATAGAAGACAATCAGTATTTGTTGGAATGGGTGGGTAAAGAGGAGTAATCAGAAAGGTGTGGGATTCATCAATATTGACTTCCTGGAATTGGCAAGCTTTCAGGAAGTTCTCAGTCTGAGCTGAAACTGCACGAATACAACCCAGTGATAGTCTTATTCCTTATTTTCTTTGAACCTTTGTACACCATCTCTTTTGGAGTGTTCTTTTACCTTTCTGAGGCTCTTCCACCCGCCTCTCCTTTATCTTCTCCACCTCTGCCCTCAGTGTCCGTGTTTCCCAAGCTCTCTGCTCTCTGGATAAGCCTGTCCACACCAGCATCTTCCTGTATCACCTTTTTTTCAGTGATCTCATCCATTCTCAAAATTTTCATCTTTATTCAGTGAGTCCCAAATCTATATCTCTGGCCTTGACTTCCCAAATACCTTCCCTGAATATACAAATTTCTAAGCTTGTTGTCATCTCTGCTAATACGTCTCAAGCTAATACGTCTAAATCCCAACACCTTTCCTTTTCACAAACTATTTCTTCATCCTTACTTCCTAAACTTGAGCTAATGCATTGACATTCTTCCAGTTTTTTATTTTTATTTTATTTTATTTTTTTTCTTCCAGTTTTTTAGACTTAAAACCTAAATCAAACCTAACTCACCCTTAATTTGCAATTCTTCATCTGGTCCAATATAGTATCTCCCTTTCTAATACTCATTTGGGTTCATTCAGCATTCTTAACTTTTACTTATTATGTATTTCAGTCATACAAACAATGATGGAGAATAATATAATGAATACCTATGTAATTTATATTGTCTACTTACGGGGTAAACATTCCACATATAATTGAAGGTTCCTGCCTCTCCTTCCTCCCTGTGTTTCATTTCTCTCCCCTTCCCCCCTAGAGGTTACTTTGTATAGTGACTTTTGCCCTTACCTGTGTTTTTTTCTTTATTTTTATTATTGTTGACAGTATTATTCCCATATGTTTTTATTTTTTACTTTTGCTATGTTTGTATGAATCACCAAGTAATATATCGTATAATTTTGTGTGCTTTACATGGTATCATATTGTATGTATCTTTCAGCAGGTATTTTTAAAATTTAACATTTGTGAGATTTGACCATGTTGGTACAGGAGGCCCTAGTTCATTTATTTAAATTGCTATATAGTTATTGTAAAAATATATAATTTATCATTTTTTCCTTCTAATGATTGCAGTTCTTTGCTATTACAAGTTGCAATGAAGAGTCTTGTCTGTGTCTCCTGGCATGCATCTTTTATAGTTTCTCCAGGGGAGTGGTTCTCAAACATTTTGGTCTAAAGACTTCTTTACACTCTTAAGTAAAATAAAATTGAGAACCCTAGCAGGCCTTTATGTGAGTTACAACTATTTATACTTATTAAATTGGAAATTAAAGCTGAGAAATGTTTTAAATATTTATTAACTCATTAAAAAATTATAATATAAACCCACTACATGTTATAATAGCATATTTGTGAAAAATAGCTATATTTTCTTTTTTTTTTTTTCAGTTCATGTTTTTTTTTTTGTTTTTTTTTTAAATATATTTTATTGATTTTTTACAGAGAGGAAGAGAGAGGGATAGAGAGTTAGAAACATCGATGAGAGAGAAACATCGATCAGCTGCCTCCTGCACATCTCCTACTGGGGGTGTGCCCGCAACCAATGTACATGCCCTTGACCGGAATCGAACCCGGGACCTTTCAGTCCGCAGGCCGACGCTCTATCCACTGAGCCAAACCGGTTTCGGCAATAGCTATATTTTCCAAAACAAACAAAAAATAATGAGAAGAATGGTATTGCTTTTACATTTTTGAAAATCTTTTAGTGTCTGAATTAATAGAAGATAGCTGGCTTCTCATTTGCCTCTGCAGTCAGTCTGCTGTGATGTATGTCATGAGACTCTGGAAAACATCACTGAAACATTCATGAGACAATGAGAATGAAAAAGGCAAATAATGTCTTACTGTTACTGCGAAAATGGTGTTGATCACATGGACCTGCTGCTACTCCAGGGCTGATAAGTAGGAGGGGCATTGCTGAGTGTCGTGTGCATCTCTAGCTGGAGGATGCCAGAGTGTACTTCACAGTGCATGTGCCTGTGCATGCTGCCAGGGCTGGCTGAGAGTTCCTGTCATGCCACAGTGTCAGGAACAATGTCAACACCGCTGGGCTCAAAGAAATTCACCAACCCAATGAGTGCGAAGTGGTATCTCATTGTTGTTTTAGTTTGCATTTTCTGTATTAGGACATTTGATACCTTTTTATGTTTATTGGACAGAATGGGTTTCATTTTCCATGAGCGTGTGTCCATAGCCCCTGCCTGTTTACTAATGGTTTGCTGGCCTTTTGCTTGTTAACTTGTAGGATTTGTAAAAGTTCTTCACGTCTTCTGGAATCTAATCTTTTTCTACTCCTTTACTAATAAATTCTTCTAGGCTGTCGCTTATTTTTTCCCTTCGTTTGTCATACAAAAAGTTTATTTTTCTTTTTTGCTTATTGGTGTGTTTTTGCCTAAATTTCTTACTTTGAAAAATTTCAAGCCTGAATACTCCTATGTTGATTCACCAGTTGTTAACATTTTGTCACATTTGATATAATCTTTTTCACTGTACCATTAGAGAGTAAGCTGTTTCTTCTTCTCAAATCCTTATCCTTTTGTTTCTTTTTCTCATTTCACCATACACATTTGGACCTTCAGTAACATGTTGAAGAAGAGAAACAGCAAGCTAATACTGGTTAGGGTTGTGCTTAGCTGAGTGTAACAAAAAGCCCAAATGATAGGGGTGTACTTTTCTCATGTAACATGAAGCCCAGCTCCATGCTGTCATCATTCTGTATCCCTGTTTGACCATCCTTGAACATTTGGCTTTTGTACTTACAGATAACCCCCATAGCTCCAGGCATATCATTGAAGGAAGTGCAAGGAGAAAGGAGAGGTACATATTTCTTTCCCAGAAATTCTCAGTAGACTCTTAAAATTTATTATTGGTGCCAGGATTATGGCATACACTAGCTGCAAAGGAATCTGGGAAATGTGTTTTTTTTAACTGAGCATTTGCTGCCCTGAACAAAATTGGGATTTTTGTTACTAAGAAAAGAGGGCAAAATGCTAAGTATCCATTAAATGACATTCTTGTCTTGCTCCTGACTTTAAGGGGAATCTTTTTAATGTTTCACAGTTTTTTAAAATCCTTACCTGAGGGCATGCTTTTATTGATATTAGAGAGAGAAACATTGATGTGAGAATGAAACATCAATCGGTTGCCTCCTGCATGCGCCCCCACCAGGGATTGAACCCACAACCTGGGTATGTACCCTGACCAGGAATCAATCCTGAGACCTTTCAGTGTACAGGGCAATGCTACAACCAACTGAGCCACAACCAACTGAGCCACACCAGCCAGGGTTAATGTTTCACAATTTATTTTTTATTTTTTTAAAAATATATTTTATTGATTTTTTACAGATAGGAAGGGAGAGGGACAGAGAGTCAGAAACATCAATGAGAGAGAAACACTGATTAGCTGCCTCCTGCATACCCCCTACTGGGGATGTGCCCGCAACCAAGGTACATGCCTTTGACCGGAATCGAACCCGGGATCCTTCAGTCCGCAGGCCAAACCAGCTAGGGCTGTAATTACCTGTTTGTTATTCTTATATTTATGTATGCCTTCTCTCAGTCTTATAAACATTTTGGCCATTTTGGTTTTTCAAATAACCAGCTGCTAAGAAAAATAATAATAAAATAAAATACTAATTTAAAAAAACACCCAGCTTTTGATCTGGGGCATCTTCTCTAGGACTTGTTTTGTTCTCCTTTTTGTTGTTTTCTACATTCTATTATCTTTTTCTAATGTCTTGAATTTGAACATTAATTTTTAGCCTTTTCTGTTATATGCAATTAAAGTTATACCTTTTCCTTTAAATACTACTTTAGCTGCATGCTACAAAGTTTGATCTTTAGCGTTTTCATTATCATTTCATAAATTATTTAAATTGCTTCATATATGTCAGTCATTAAATACTAATTTTTTTTACTGTTATTAAGATCTTTTATATGGAATTATTGCCATCATTTACAAATAAATCCTTAAACTTAGACATAAGCTGCAATTTTGTGATGGAAGGATTATTCTAATGAATGAAGTATTGCATCAAGATTCACATATTACTTATTAAGGACAAGAGTTAACAGAAATGGTTCTTTTATAGGCAATTACTAGGCTTTTCCCAGATCATGGTAAACAACTACTCAGCCTTGCAAATGTGAAGCAATATTGTCTCTAAACATACATTTGTGTCACTCATTAAGTACAATTTACTTAAATGAAATAACATAATTTGGTTTTCTTTTGTAGTTATTTGAGGAGGAGAAAGTCATGTGTTAGTTCATCTGTAGCATCAATTGAACTGGACTTTTTCAGTTGCTTAGAAAAATGAAAATCACTTCTCATTATATTAAATACAAAATAAATGTAACACTGTTTCATGGCAAACATGATTGTTGTAAGTTTTACTCTTTCAAATGTGGGCATGACTGAATACATTTGGAACTAGTCATATCACCATTCAAATCAGCAATTTAGAAACAAACAAAAAATCATTTTGATTTCTTCTTTGAGTCATGAATTACTTAGAACTATTTTAGAATTTCCAAATATGATAAGTTGTATTTCTTATGTGACTTTCTAATTTAATTGCATTGTAATCAAAGAACATTGTCTGTATAGTACCAGTTTTTTACTGAGACTTGCTGTATGATCTATTTTGTGGTCAGTTTTGTAAATGAATTATTGAAGAGAAAACTGTTGGATGAAGGGATTAGATGTGTACATGTCTCTGTGTGTATGTATTAGATTAAGCTAATTATGTTGTTCAAATTTTCTCTATCCTTATTTAGTAGATTTGATGTATCAGTAATAGAAAAGTTACACTAAAATTTCCCACTACATAGACAGGCTTGTCAGTTTCTCCTTGTGCTTCTGTTCATTTTTGTTTGAAATATTTTTAGGATGCCTTGTCCGAAACAGGTTGTGGGTGGCCGTAGTTGAACTTTGCCTTTGATTATGAAACTAGTAGTCCACTTCATGTTTATTGAAGTGGAAATTTCTGAATGAGAAGTCGAAGTACTGCCTGCTTGGTGAAAAACAAACAATTTATTAGGGACCCACAAGTTTAGAATTGTGCACCTTCATGGGAATTTTTCTTATTATCATTATGTAGCCTTTCTCTTAATCTCCAATAATGCTTTTTGCTGTAGATTCCTTCTAATATAATAATACCAATAATTTCCTTACTAGTTTCTCTGTCATCAGTCTCTCTCTTACACTTCATTCTTCACACACAATATTATTCTTCAAAACAGTAAATTTTTAAAAAGTATATTTAAAAAGTCAGATCATTTGGTCTGTCTTGTATATATATGTATTCTTTTTTTTTTATATATTTTATTGATTTTTTACAGAGAGAAAGGGAGAGAGATAGAGAGTTAGAAACATCGATGAGAGAGAAACATCGATCAGCTGCCTCCCTGCACATCTCCCACTGGGGATGTGCCCACAACCCAAGGTACATGCCCTTGACCGGAATCGAACCCTGGGACCTTTCAGTCCGCAGGCCGACGCTCTATCCACTGAGCCAAACCGGTTTCGGCTATATGTATTCTTATATATTTATTGATTTTATGGAGAGAGGAAGGGAAAGGGATAGAGAAATAGAAACATTGATGGGAGAGAAACATCAATCATGCTTCCTTCATGCCCCCTATTGGGGATCAAGCCCACAACCTGGGCATGTGTCCTGACGGGGAATCGAACCTGTGACCTCTTGGTTCAACCACTGAGCCACACAGGCTGGGCATGTCATGGTCTTCCTCCTTCCATTCTGTGTATTTCTGCTTGGTGAACTTGGCTTCAACCCCCATTAGCCCAGCTCAAGTGGTTACCTTTGCACATTTTTTTTCTTTATCTCCTAGGTCAGTGGTTCTCAACCTTCTGGCCCTTTAAATACAGTTCCTCATATTGTGACCCAACCATAAAATTATTTTCGTTGCTACTTCATAACTGTAATGTTGCTACTGTTATGAATCGTCATGTAAATATCTGATATGCAGGATGGTCTTAGGCGACCCCTGTGAAAGGGTCTTCGACCGCCAAAGGGGTTGCGACCCACAGGTTGAGAACCACTGTCCTAGGTAGAACTAGTGTTCTTCCCTACGCACACACATCTTTTTTATGGAAGTAAAATTTGTATTCAGTGAAATGCAAAGACCTTAAGAGTACAGGTTGATGATGTTGGTAAATTTATACACCTTTGTAAGTACCACCCCAGGTAAGGCAATATTTGCAGCAGCCCAGAAAGTTACCTTGTGCTCACTTCTGGTCAACCCCCACCCTCCCTTAGATAACCACTGTTTTGGTTTCCAGCATCATCGATTAGTTTCATCTTTTCTTGAACTTCATGTAAATATAGTCATACTTTTAAACTCTTAGGTCTTACTTTTTTTCCTCAGCCTAATGTTTTTTAGATTTATCTGGTTTTGTGGATAGCTATAGGTGATTCTTTTTTACTGCTGAGTAATATTCCATTGTATGAATATACCACAATGTCTTTATCCATTCTCCTATTGATGGACATTTGGATCATTGCTAGTTTGGAGCTATTATGCAAAAGCTGCTATGAACATTCTTGTACAGTCTCTGTCAATGTGTTTTCATTTTCTTACACAAATACCTAGTAGTAGATGCTCAGACATGTGGTGGGTAGGAATGTTTAATTGTATAAGAAACTGCCGACAATATTTTACTTACTTTTTAATAGCATTTGTCACAACAAAGTGTATTTATTATACGTGAAATTGAGCTTCTAAAAGTTAGGACATATTTTATTCTTTATATTTACACAAGTGCCTAATACAGTGTATGGCACATATTTGGTGCTTGCTCCAAAAACATTGAAGAAGGAACTATCGTAGTTCTTTATTTGTATTACTTTTATGGAATTTATCACATGCTATCTTATTGGTTATGTTCATGTTTTCTCTCTACTAGATTGCAAGTTTCTTCATCTGTAGGAACTTTTGTTTTATTCTTGTTTTATATTTCACATTGCTTTGAAAATTACTTTAATGAATGAACCAGCCTGTCACTTAGAAGGTGAAGAACCAGGAACAGAAGAACAAGAGAAGTTTGCCTCTGTTTCTTCTAATTGGGAAGGAGAGAGGGAAAACCCGCAGAACAGCTATTATATTAGTGGGCCCAATATTTGGTGGTGGTGGAGGAGGGGGTTCACTGAGACTTTTGGCCTGGGAAGAACATTTTGTACTCTAATTTGCCTCCATTTCAATATGTTGCAGAGCAAGGAAGCGGTTTTTATCTTTAGTTGGTGCAGCTGGCTCCCAAGTGGGTCAGTAGACAGTTTTTATTAGTGTTGCATCATGCATTGACACACTAGGCTTTGACTTTGCAGGATGTGCTGCTTGTGAAACAGAGGAAATAGACGCGGTGTTTGAATATTTGGTATTGTGTTCTTATTTTGCAGTTAAATCCAGATGTGAATGTTTTCCAGCGGAAATTTGTGAATGAAGTTAGAAGATGTGAAGAAATGGATCGAAAGCTTCGTATGTGCATTTTGGTCTTGATGATGTTCCTATAATGAGTCATTTATCTTAAATTAGAGACACCAGTGCTCTTAATAAAGGGAGGAAATCCTACAGGAGAAAAAGAAAGGAGGAAAAATCTTGTGATCCTGATGTTAAGATGAATTTCTGGTATACAAGTAGATTTTGTGGTGTTTGGGCCTGGTGATGCTTAATGGAAACCTTGTGTGAGATGACAAGGCTGTAAGCTGAAAACACTGCTTTTTGTGTGTGTGTGTGTGGGAAGGGTTTTATAGCAGAACTAGTGGCCCGGTGCACGAAATTCATGTTGGGGGGGGCGTCCCTCAGCCTGGCCTGCACCCTCTCCAATCTGGGACCCCTCAGGGGATGTCTGACTGCCAGTTTAGGCCCATAGGGATTGGGCCTAAACTGGCAGTTGGACATCCCTCTTGTAATTCGGGACGCTGGCTTCTAACCACTCATCTGCCTGCCTGCTTGATCATCCCTAACCACTCTGCCTGCCCGCCTGCTCGCCCCCAACTGCCCCCACCCTTGCCGGCCTGCTTGCCCACAACTGCCCCCCCCTGCCGGCCTGCTCACCTCCAACTGGCCCCCCCTGACGGCCTGCTCGCTCCCTCCTGCCCCCCCGCCAGCCTGATTACCCCCAAATGCCCTCCCCTCCTGGCCTGATCACCCCTAACCTCCTCTGCCTCAGCCCCACTTTGTCCGGAAGGACATCTGGAAGGTTTCCCGGAAGGTCTCCTGGTCTAATTAGCATATTACCCTTTTATTAGTATAGATTACATTATAGAATTCTGAGGGATGGAACCCAGACCACCATCAATTTTAGATGTCAGCATAGCCACCTTTTAATCTGCACTATTTATGTATGAGGGAAGAAACTAACAGTTAAGGCTCTATTGAGAGTTAGGGTGTTCATATGCTTTCTTTCATTCATTTCTTACAACATCCCTTCAAAATGGGTGTTAACCTCATTTAATAAGTGAGGAAACCAAAGATCAGAGAGGTTAAGTGACATGGTCCAAGAATGTAAGTGGCTGTGATGTAATCAGTATTTGAATTCAGGTTGTTCTGTCTGGTTCTAAAACCCAAGATCTTGCTAGTATACTATGCCAGCTCTCAGTTAGCTGATAGGTGAATTTGGTCCCCATCGTAAAAAAAAAGTCAGTAGTTGTCGCCTGAAACACTTTTCTTTTCTGGTGTCTTGGAGCCTTATTGTGCCTCTTGCTTCTTATTTGTTTTGTTTCCTTTAAATGTAATGAAACCCTTTTGATCTGGAGCTGTCTCACTAGTGTGTCAGTTGTCAAATAGTCTATTGAATTGGCTCTTGATAGCTCTGCTCTGCCCGCAGTACTTGTGATGAGGACATCATACTCTGGGGCAGCAGTCACAGGGTTGCAGAGCTGAAGCAGGTTGGACTAGTTTGAAGACCAGAAGAGGAAATGAAGACAGGAGTGGGATGATAACCCTCTTTGGGGAAGCTGTGCTTTAGAGATTGTGTGGTAGGAGGACGAGGAACGTAGAGAAAAAAGGATTTACATGTTCTGCTTCTTTTATATAAAAGTATCTTTCTTAGAATGAAGCTTTTTAGCCAGGCTTGGCATCTCTTTTCCCCCCACCCCCACCCCCAAATATTGGCAATTCCAGGCATATGCTATACATGAATGTTTTGATTCTGTCATTTTAGGATTTGTTGAGAAAGAGATAAGAAAAGCTAATATCCCAATCATGGACACTGGCGAAAATCCAGAGGTGCCCTTCCCCCGGGACATGATTGACTTAGAGGTAAACAATTCTGAGGATGCCAAATAAGTGTCTTGCTATTTAAATGTAGAAATTTCTGAGTGGATAGAGAGTAGAGTAATTCTAGCTGTCCTTGTCAGCATTATTTATTGATGTAAGTTTCTTGTAGCTGGAATTAAAATGAAGTTTCCTTTTTATGGTATAGAACAGCATGTTGAACAGTATCATGTGCCACTAAATAAATGTTTATTGGCTTATTGAAACTATATTGGATTAATGTCAGTTTATCTACTAATTTATTAATCTCATTGTCTAAATAAATGAATAGCCAATGGATTTCAATATTTATTTTATCCATCTGAAGTCTCCTGAGAATTCAACCAAGAGTATAATAGAATATATAAACAAAGACGATTTTAAACAAAAATTTTGATGAAGAAAATTGCCCTGGTAAAATCACATATTTGCAGGGTAGATATAAGATATCTGTCATAGTAGCTAGAGTTCTGTTGGATAGATGAATTCATGTCTTTCAGAGCAAGCTCATTGAGCTTAGGTTGAGTTAATAGTTTGATTTATTTTCTTTTTTATAGGCTAATTTTGAGAAGATTGAAAATGAACTGAAGGAAATCAACACCAACCAGGAAGCTCTGAAGAGAAACTTCCTGGAACTGACTGAATTAAAATTTATACTTCGCAAAACTCAGCAGTTTTTCGATGAGGTCAGACTATTATTTCTTTTAGTATTTGAGCAGCTGATGTTACACCTGCACAAGTGGGCCATATTTTTATTCCAGTAATTATTTTAATTTGCTAGTTTGAAAGCAATACCATCTTCACACCCTGTTTTAGTTGAAGAACTGTCAGATTATGTTCCATTTTTCATGCAGTACATAGCCAGACATAATTTTGTATATTTTTGCATTTTCTGTAATTTTTCATCTCAAGATGGGGAAAGGAACCCTACAATAGTTGTATGAACATAGTTAAAAGTTTTACATTATATTTTAAGGTAAGTAAATGTTCAAGGTTAAAGTCAAAGCAACAAGAAACATTCAGTTACATGTGAAATTATAACAAAGGTTTAATCTCCAAACCTTTTGTCATCAAATTTTAATTTTATTTCTATGTTTGCCCATCAACCTTCAAGCACACTTTTAACTACTTTAGATAGCACATATCACACTTTAATTTTTTTTAAATACTATATGGAAATATTGGTAGGATGCTTGTTTGGAATTCCTGGATTTTCATATAAACTCAACTGCATTACCAGGTAGGGAAAAATGTTAATGAGTTCCTGGATTAGAAATGTAGGTGACTAAGTTGCCAGCAGCTTGCTGAGGTGACCCCGTGGAAAGGATTTGGAGCAAGGCTTTCAGAAAGCTTCCTTCTCCTAATTAAACCTGGGAAGGAGTCTTAGCTTTCACCCTGGACGTGATTTTTCTGATGGCTTAAAATATGGGTCATTCTCTCTTTTTTAATTTAATATTTTTATTAATTTTTAGAGAGAGAGGGAGGGAGGGAGAGAGAAAGAAAAAATCAATGTGAGAGCGAAACATTCATTGGCTGCCTCCTGCATGCCCCCTACCAGGGATCAAGCCTGAAACAGGCATGTGCCCTCACCAGAAATCAAACCGGCACGGGGACAATGCCCAACCAACTGAGCCACACTGGCCAGGCTGGATAATTCTCCTTTTTACAGGTGTTTTTGCCACCTGCTTAGCAACATAAGACACTTCAGAGATTGTTCTGGTCACCGTTCAGTGTGCCTTCCTATAAAGTTCTTTATTTCCTTTGCTCAAAACAAATTTTCTTGTGTGGCAAAACTTTTAAAAAATAGAAGGCCCAATTTAGTTAGTATCTGCTCTTGTTCTCAGTTCCACTTTTAATTTCTGTGTTTTGGAGAAAGAACAACTGCCCACTGTTCTTATACTAGAATAGGGGTTCTCCAACCAGCAGCATCAGCCTTGCCTGGGAACTTGTCAGAATGCAAATTACCAGTCTGAGAGTGGGCGTAGCAATCTGTTTTCATAAGATCATCGGGAGGCAGGCTAGTTTGAGAACCACTGGGCTAGAGAAAGTCAGCTGAAGATGTGATACATTCCTCAATAGCTAAGGCTTTGACTTAGAGAAGCCATGCTAATTAAAAAGATCTGCTGGGGCGAGGGAAAAGGGGAAGGGTCTTATGAATTTAATTGCCCGGTCCTCCTAAGGATTAGAATCTGGCAGTATTTATCAAGAGAGGTTCGGTGTGAATATTCAGCTTGCTCACTGAGCTGAGAATTTTGAGACCACTGATCACTTCTTTCACTAGTCCGCAATTACCGTCACATTAGCGGGTGTGGGACAGTGTGATTAACTCATGACAAGTGTTTCAGGTCTTTTGCAACAGGCATGATCACTTAGGCATATGGTAATCTGGAATTCCAGTATGCTCACTGCCTACACATTGTATTTATCTTCATTAATTCACTGAACATTTGATAAACCACCTACTCTTTTTGAGACAATAAGATGAGTAAGACCTGGTCCCTATGCTCAAGGAGCGTATCCGTAGTTATGAGGAAACATCCCGAACACAGTGCCTCCAGTGCTCCCAGATGTGTGCTTTTCTAAATGTGTTCGAGCTGCTTCCCACAGATGCAATATAAACCTGGTCTCAGGATCAAAGCTCAGCTACTTTTAGCATCATTTAGGACTTAATTGTCCCTCCCCCGCTCCTCTTTTTTCCTTTTGATATAGTCTTTTGTTTACTGCTCAGATGTTGCTGAAAAGTATGAAAATGTCTTTCATAACCTCCCAAATTTAAGAATTGAAATGGGCTTCTTAGTCTAGTCCATTCTGGGAGAAATTCTGAATAAAGATTGACAAATGGACTCCCTTAAGGGAAATAGTTATTCAAACTTTAATGTTATAATTTTTAAAAATAGTAAAAATATAAAAAGGAACTACTTGGAAAAATGACATAAGATTTTAAAATCCTAAGTTACGGATTTTGGAATTTCTTTGTGCTTAATAAGTCTAAACATGAAATGCCCATGCTGAGAAGGCAGGCTTAAATCTTCATGACCTTCATGCCCAATCTATGGTGAGTTGTTCACTTTTGAACACAAGGCCTTGACTATGAGAGGTTCTTCCACTGCTTTCGTTATCAGTCCCTCTCATTCTTAGCACCCTCACCACAGTGCAGGAAATCTGGCAAGAACCACTCTGCCTTTTCTCTCCAACTGCACCGTCAGTGCCTTGCCTGCTCTTGCCACTAGCTCGTAACCTCAGCCAGGTCCCTTTCAATAGCCCTTGCCCTGCTGCCACTAAACAGCAACCTCAGGTGTCCAGGCCACGACAGGAAACCAGACCTCACAGAGTAAGCGCATGCGCACATGGGAGGGCACACTTTAAAGAATGCAAAAGATAAGGAAACTTGAGACCCTCAAATCTTGGAAACATAGATTTTTTTCATGAGATTTTCTTCCATGCCTACAACTAGAAGGTTTGCAAATGGCCTAAAACACTACCAATTTCAAAGCCTTCTTTTTGGTGAATATGATTAATGATTTGTAATAATGAGTTAGCAGAAAATGGCTAAATCAGAGAATGATTCTTTCCATCTTTTGGTATAGGGGTTCTGATTGGTGAGGGGTGTAGAAGGGGAAAGGTAAACACATTGAATATTCTTATGATTTAAGATGATTACAAATTTGACTTAGCCATTTCTTATCCAGAGCATTTAAAATGACTTGTTAATGATTATCCTTTTCTCAGTCTTCTTGCTTATGAAGAACTGTAAGAGCTGGAGAGATTTCTCTGCATCTTTACCATAAGCACCATAACATATGAGAGCGTAAAGAAGACTGGAAAAGTAATGGTTAATGGCATGCAGATCCCTGCCTTCTTTTCCTTCTGAGTTTTTCATTCATCTGCTTTCTTTACTTTTCTTTCCCATCTGCCATCTCCTTTGGGGTTTGGGTGAATACCTTAGGTGATGAAGTGTAATCTCTCACTCTCTCTCGCTCTCTCTTTCTCTCTGTCTCTCTATCTCTGTCTCTCTCTTTTTAAATATTTTTTAAATTGATTTTTAGAGAGAGAAGAAGGGAGTGTAATTTCTTTCTTAACATAGATGGAAGTAAAAGTGTTTGCTCTTGGTAATTAACGTAGCTTGAACTGGACTTGTGCTGCTTATACTTAAGAGTAGAAATAGACCTACTGAAGCTCTGCTACTTCTTTTTTGAAGGCATGGTTTCAGTGTTCTAATTGGGGCAGGAGGTAAACCAGAGGGCATAGCAAGTAACTTAGAGGAACATTGGCAGTGTCGTTATTGTTACTAGAGAACCCAGTTAGGATTTTGCTACTTGACGACATGGTTTTAGAGATTGCTTTAAAGGCCTTCAGTTAGTGGTTCTGGTCATCCTATTTTCTCATGAGGCACGATTATTTTATTTAAAAATCTTTTACTTTCCTCTCTAAGACTTAGGATTTTTTTCCATTTTTTTAATCATCACCTGAGGATATGTGTGTTTCATTTTTTGTTGGTTTTTTTTTGTTTGTTTTTTATTTGAGAGAGAGAGAGAGAGAGACAGACAGACATCGATTGGTTGCCTCCTGTGTGCATCCTGACCAGGGATCAAACCCACAGTCTAGGTATATGCCCTGACTAGGAGTTGCACCTGCAACCTTTTGGTGCATGGGACGATGCTCCAACCAATGGAGCCGCCTGGACAGGGCAAGACTTGGGATTCGTAAGTATGAAGTAGTGTAATTATGAATTAGAAGCTTATTGCAAGTTTCTATTTAACTTTAATTCAGTTTTTTTTATACCTAGAGAGTCCCAGATACAGTCTTTGGAGTAGTCTAATTGCTGTTTCATCTTTGTCCCCTTAGTACATGTTTGCTTTGAGTCTGATCTTTAGGGTTTATTTAAACCAAGTCTTATGAACCGTACAGGGAAGTAGGCAGCAATCTTGTGAATAGCAGTAAGTTTCACTGGTTTTTGCTAAGGGACATCCCAGGAGCACATTGAAATGTGGAAGTCATCTGGATCCTCAAAATAAATTGCCTGTGGCTTGTAGTGAGCTGGTTTGACCTTAAGTAGAAACAAGAAGAACCTCTAAACTGTCATTTGATAGCAGCTGGTAACCTGTGGCCCATTATCTCATCTTAAGCTTTTCCAAATCTCATGACAGTATTTCTCTGCCCTTCCCTTTGTTAAAAAAAATCAAAGTTGATCCTGCTTTCAAAATTTACTTCTCAAAGCAATTGCCTTCACATATTAAGGCTTTCAGACTTACACTTGACGTTCCCATGAGGTTTTTTTGTTTATAATGGGTTGACAGGAGTAGAATCTTGAAATTTGGAATGAAAATGATGGAGAAAAATTTTACTGATTCTTTGTTTGTTTGGTCAAACAAGAAGTGCATGGATATTAAAGTTGGAGAGGTCAGGCTGTGGAGAAATCAATTGGCCTTTATTTTTTAGGGCAGCTTCCCTTCCTGATGGGAGTAAAAGGTGGTAGGTAAGAAGTGTTGTGTAAAGAGAGGCTAGGAAATATAGACCTAGCACATCTGAAAAGGTCCCTTTCCTCCTTCATTTCATTGTATAAACTGTCATGGTGGAAATCATTTTAAATCTAAACAATTAAACTAGCCCACACACTGTGTATTGGCTTAATATCTGCTACTCTCTTCACTGCATTTGATTCAGATTATTGGATTAGCTATGTTCTCAAGCATCCTGCAACTGGAAAGCCTACATGAACTTTTTAATATCCCTAGATTCCTGCTCAGAAGCTAGGACATTCCGATATGTTTTCACTTTTTCTTCCCTTTATGGATGCGGTGGAGGCCCAGGCCTGTCCAGCTATTGTACTTCTTATCCTTTTGGAGAAAGAAATACTCCTTACATCCCATGGAGCATTTTATGCAATGGCTGAAAGTCCTCACATTCTGCATTTCTAAGAGCACAGAAAACCGAGGTATCTGGAGAGGCCTCCCCTGCCTTTCTCCAGATCACACACTGTGTTTAAGACAGTGACGCTGCCTTGCGTTCTTCCTTGGAAAGAGAGTCTCCATCTTTCACATTCTCACGCAGGGAAAACTCTAGTTTGTAACTGCCTGGAAATTGGATGTTGAGAGTTTCTGCTGAGCTGCCTCCTTTTTGCTCAAAAGGAAGAAACACTTCAGCTTCTGTCCACATGAAAAGGTATTTCCTGGCATTTTCATGGCTCATTTAGGAAAATATAAGAGAAAAAATGGCTTCCACCAAGTAAGATTTATACATGTCACCATCATTTAATGTTTTTTTTATTCCTTATTTCTTAAACCATTTCCCCAGATGATTTACTGGGACAATTATGCTTTCTTTCCCTCTTGTTTCTTTTCTTTGTTTTCTTTCCTTATTCTTCTTATCTTCTTTTTGTGGGTACATCTTCTCTTTTGGTGGTTTGTTTCTCATCTTTATTTTCTGAACTTATCTCCTGGTTCCTCGTTCCCTGCATGCCACTAACTATTTTCATTAGATATTAATTGATTTGTGAATTCAGGCTGAATTGCATCATCAGCAGATGGCGGATCCAGACCTGTTGGAAGAGTCCTCATCCCTCTTGGAGCCAAGTGAGATAGGAAGAGGCACACCTTTAAGACTCGGGTAAGTACCACTTCAGCCCTCCATACTCAGTGGGGTCAAGTTCATTTTTACTGTTCAGAAGAACAAAAGGTTGGCTTTTACTTGCTTCCAGAATGCACTCTCCTCTGAGCCTGTTGAGAGGCGTTCCTCAGTTGATTTGGATTGTGTTCTCGCAACTCTCTTCTGGGACCAAAAGTAAAACTTTAGTTTTTTTGACATAACAATGTGTAATCATGTTTGTCATCCTCGTACCTCTCCTCACTTTCCTTCTTTGTCTTAAAGCCTTCCATCCCCTGGCATGAAATAGATTTCCCAACCTGGCTCTTCTTCCCACAGCTTCGTGGCTGGTGTGATTAACCGGGAGCGCATCCCTACTTTTGAGCGCATGCTTTGGCGGGTGTGCCGGGGGAATGTGTTCCTGCGACAGGCTGAAATCGAGAACCCCCTGGAGGATCCTGTGACTGTAAGACAAGGAAATTGCGTCCCATGGAGTAGGTCTTGTAAAGGGAGTTCAGAGCAGGAGCAGCCTCGTGCCCCCTGACTCTGAACCTCCCACAAAGGAGCCCTTACGTTCATCCCGGCTTTGATCTGGGAATTTGAGAGACGGCTCTTTTCCTCTTAACTTCCATCATTTGTGTACATATGATGTATATATGACATATACATGTACATTTTAAAGCTATGCCTGTGTATTATTTTGAATGTAAATATTTTTTTTTCAGTTATTTTAACCTTTAGCTTTATATGTTTTGTGTTACTTATCTGGGACCAACAAAAAAGTAACCTTCTATGAAAGTTAACTTAAAGTAAGACATCTGGTTCCCAGTTTGGTAATATCAATATGTAAAAAGGAGAGTTCCTACATTGTGGATCTCTGTAAGTTGATGAGACTTTAGTTGGTAAGGTTTTTTATTGTCTACTTGTTTGTTGGGAGATTTAGAAACTTAGTTTAAAAATACATATTGTGCAGGGTAGGACAATCTTCCCACCCAGTGCTCTGGAAAGTAAGAATAGCTTAACATCGTAGCATTTGACATAATGGGACAGAGTTCTTAACATAAACCTATATTAAGTATGGTGAGTTCTGATTTCAGGGATCACAAGCAAAGATTAAATGTTCTGCAAAAAAATTTACTTCACTTTTGTGTTAGTATTATTTAGAAGCCTGAAGTTGTTGTTTTTTTGTTGTTCTAAATTATCTTTTGGATTTCTTAAATTAGTATTCTTTGCCCTAAGAAGAGAGATTGAACTGTGAGACTTCTCAGAGTGGGTGGGTCCTGCAGCTAAAAATAATCCAGTGACAGTATATGACTTTGATCCGCAGTATTGAGTAGGAGCATAGTGACACTTAGGTTATGGTGAGTCCCCTCACCCAGAGGAGCAGTCGTACGTCTTATTGAAGGCTGGCCTCGGGTTGTGAAGACACTGCAGTGTGCAGTCACACCTAATGTGGACCTGTTCTCAGGAATGTTCGGCCAGGTGTCTGGGCAACAGAAACCATTTTATCAACAAATTGAGGAAAGGGTGCCTGGGTATCTCGTAGCTACAGCAGAGCAGCTGCACCAAGAATGTGCACCAGTTTATTTCTAGAGGATTTAGGAATTTAAGTCTTAAGCCTTATCTGCTTCACTCGTCATCCCCTTTTATCTTCTAAAGTTTTGTTTTCTTATTCTACCAGCTCCATAGGAATATGAGAAAATAGAGACAATCTTGGTTAACACCCAGTATAGCTTATTTTTCTCATCATTCCTTCCATACTTCAAGTGTAAACTTGGTATTTGGAATGGATTGCGTTTCGCCTTGACCCCTAAAGTCTAAATCGGAATGAATCATGAAATTCTACATCAACACTCTCCCCAACTACTCGGTTCCTTGTAGTTATCCAGTTCTCTTTATCTGGGAATTTCTAAGCATGGGAGCAGACAGGAATGTCTTTCTTCTCTTTCTCTGTACTTATGGCTTTCAGGCAATAGAAGATTTAAAGTGGAATTGGTAAATAGGGCTAAGTTGTACTAAGAAGAATCATCTTAGAGTCTGTGTCAAGCCCCTGGTTGAGTTTAAAAACAAATACAGGAAGTTTTTTGTGACTTAGTAATTACAGGGCAAATGTTCTTGTAATGGAGCTTAAGAAATGGATGGAGGATAGTGGTTCAAGTACACGGCTGCCATATCCTCAAAGAATTTTTGTTGTTCCTGTATCACCAAGAAAGTTAGTTACTTAAGACTTTTTTTCTGGGTTACAAGTCTGAAGTCTTGGTTTTCGGTCTGGGGCCTAGGGCGACTACGTGCACAAGTCTGTGTTCATCATTTTCTTCCAAGGAGATCAGCTGAAAAACAGAGTCAAGAAAATCTGTGAAGGGTAAGAGAAACGTGCCTCCCCTGAGGGTACAGGCTAACTCTCCTAAGTCTTAGACTATAGAAACACAAACCCTTACTTTACCTTCACATGGTGAATACATCTTTTAATAAGGTTGGGGCTATTTTAAACAATTAGAAATGGCCCAAGGTCAGTTTTTAAAGTGCTGTCAAAACCACAAATTCCACCCAGGCCAATGTGGCTCAGTTGTTTGAGCGTCATCTCGTGCACCAAAAGGTCGTATGTTCAATTCCCAATTAGGGCACATACCCAGGTTGCAAGTTTGACCACAACCAATGGATATTTCTCTCTTACATCGATGTTTCTCTCTCTCTTCCTCTTCCTCTCTCTCTAAAAACAATACACATATTTTTTTTAAAACACAACACAATTTCCTTTTCTTGGAAAAAAGTAATTAGGATTCATGATATATAAATGCTACATTGTTCTGGGACAGTGGTTCTGCATACCCAGCAGTGTGCCACAGGCACCATACCCTTACACTTTTCTGAAATTCTGCCCGTAAGATCTTTCTTCAGGGCCATTTTTCCTAATATAATTTGTATTACTGTGTGTGTTTTTTTTTTTTGTTTTAAATATCTTGATTGATTTCAGAGAGGAAGGAAGAGGGGGAGAGAGAGATAGAATCATCAATTGGCTGCCTCCTACATGCCCCCTACTGGGGATCAAGCCCATAACCTGGGCACTTGCTCCAACTGGAATCAAACTGTGACCTCCTGTTCATTGGTGGATGCTCAATCACTGAGCCACACCGCTGGGCTGGTTTTGTTTTTATAATCTAAGGAAATTTAATAGCTACAGAGAATACCAAGATAGTTCAAATGTTACTGCTCTATCTGTAGGCTACTTACCATAAATAATTATTATTGATTATTACACCAGTCTGAATCCTACTAGTATCTTGGTCCTTCTAGTAAATTAGGATTACTTTCTGAGATTATTTAAATTGGATACGTTAAGAAACATCCGTGTTCCTCAGGCTGTGTCTGTCTGTTGCAGGTTCCGGGCCTCTCTCTATCCCTGCCCTGAGACACCCCAGGAGAGGAAGGAAATGGCTTCTGGAGTTAATACCAGGATTGAGGATCTGCAAATGGTACGCAGAGGGCTGACGGGAATTTGTTTTCGTGCAATACTGAAATAGAAGGCCAGTCTCCTTCTTTGAAACACAAACAGTTTATTAGGCACCTGCAGTAGCTCAGGATACCAAAAAAGGAAACGTCTCCTTGGGAGCTGGGGAAAAGTTTCATGGAATGACTGCTTCAAAAAAGCATTAATCATTCTCAAAGGAGACAGGAATGCTATGCATCCGAAATCGCTGTTGCTTAGAGTATTCAATTCTCCTCATCATGAGTCAAAAGTATGCTTAGTTAAGAAAAAAAAATCAAATAATACAGAAGTATATACAAAGTCAGTTCCGCCCTGTCTCACACACACACTCTACCTCCAGAGGCAGCCACTCTCAACCGCTTGGTGTGTGTCCCTCTGGTCACCTGGATGTCAACCACACAGTCTAGCCAACATGTCCTGGCGTAACCCTTGTACCCAGGAAGAGACTGCATTCGATTTTCCCAAAATCACAGTGTGTGTGATTTATGGGAACATGGAAGGAAAAGGGTGGCAGTTGGAGTGTTGTTTCCTGTTGAAAGAATGTGATGAGTGCCCCTTGAAACATTAATAAACATGCCAATCCCAAAGGCATTTCTTTCCAGTGGCAAAATTGTCAGAGATATGTTGTAATTCCCGTTTCAACTTCATCTTTCCTCTAACCCCCATTGTATGTGACCCACCGACTTGACCTACTTCCAGTTCCTTTGAGATATTCTTATCTGTTTAACCCAAACTGCTGGTGGACCATAGGCCATATTGGTATGTTCTGGGTTCTAAGACTGTCTTATCCCCTCGCAGGCTTATGGGTAGATTTTAAAGAGCAGGTGCAACCCACATGAACTGAACTGAAACTTTAAAATTGAATACCAGGGGGTGGGAGATAGGGAAAGAAAAAAGCAATTAGAACATTGCTTCCCAGAAGTTGTAATAGTAATTGTGAAATTGTCAACAGCCAGAAGGAGAAAAAGTAGTTTTGTTTCTTTATTCTCAAGTGATTTAAGAGTTTACCAAGGATATTTTTTCCCCATTAATTTTCAGAGAGTGGAAGGGAGAGAGGGAGGGAGAGAAAAAGGGGGAAGGAGAGAGAAATATGTGAGAGACACATCAACTGGGGCTGGGGATCAAACCTGCAAAGTAGGTACGTGCCCTTGACTGAGAATCGAACCTGAGACCCTTTGGTACCAGGGCCGATGTTCTAACCATTGAGCCACCAGCCAGGCCAGCTTTTTTTTAAAACCTCTCTATGTAAGTCACATTCTACTGCTCAAGAAAGATTGTCAAGGAGTAGTTACTACTTTTTTTCTGAACTGACTTAAAGGACTATGATGGACACTTTTGCTAAAATGATTAGTATATAGCTTTTTCCTCTTCAAAATAATGTAGAGATTTAAGATAGATTTTCATGCAGAAATGTTAGTGGCGGGTTGCTTGTCCAATTTTGGCTTAGCCTCTTTTCTGCTATTAAAATCTTAAATGTTTGCTGGTAAATACGGCAGTGACTGTAAAGTGCCCCTGCCCCATTCTCACACTGTCGCCTTGGCAATGTGATTCCTCTGAGGAACTCTGTCCTGGTTTCCAGAGGTCAGCACTGAAACATCCCCCCACCCCCACCCCACTCCTCCAGCCTGACAGGAACATAAAGCCTTATCTGCCCCGTGATGACAGTGGTATGTGGCAGGCTAACTTCCTCTAAAGGTTCTGGATCCTCCTGACCCCAGTGTCTCCTGTCTCCGGTTATGGGGTCTCCCTTGGCATAGGCAGACAGTGGTGTTCAGCAGTGCCTCTTTCCCATCGTTCCCTGCTGCTGGCTTACGTTCAGGGGATTCTGCAGCTTGCTCTTCTTCAGTGTGGATTTGTTGCTTTGTCAACATCTGGACCTGTGATGCTGACTTCTTTGAGTCTGAGTTACAGGCTCCCCCTGGAAAGTCACCATTCTTTAATGGGCCAAGTAAAAGCCAATGAATTGTTGTGCCATAGATTTGGTGGTAAGATTAAAGGTATAGTGTAAAGGTAGAAACCATTTTATCAGGCTTCTTTTGAGCTTGGAGCTAAATAAAAACAAATGTTAGTAACTAGAACTCTAATTTCTTGTAATTTGACCCCTAAAAAAAAGTCATTCTAGTCAAAGGAAGAAAAAAAACAAAACAGATTCCCAGCAACCCTTCTCAGAAAGTTGTGCCTTTTGCCATTCATATCCTGAGACTTAAGACTGGTGTTAGAAGGATCCCTCCCATGTTCCTTTCTCTCTCAAAGGTTTTGAATCAAACGGAGGATCACCGCCAGAGGGTTCTGCAGGCAGCTGCTAAGAACATCCGTGTCTGGTTCATCAAAGTGCGGAAGATGAAGGCCATCTACCACACTCTGAACATGTGCAACATAGACGTGACCCAGAAGTGTCTGATTGCAGAGGTCTGGTGCCCTGTCACTGAACTTGACTCCATCCAGTTTGCACTCAGAAGGGGCACGGTGAGTCCCCCACAGCAAGCAGTGCAGCCTATAGCTAAGAAAAGAGGTTCCCATCAACAGTAACATTAACTATCCACATTTTTATGGCATTTTTACTTTCAGAGTTCTTCAATATACACATCTGGTTCCTGACAATGCATTTTGCATATGTGTCCTTTTTTTCCAAATGTGGAAATTGTACTTTTTTAAAAAAAGGTTAAATAACTTAATCATGTATTCATGATTCTTCAGGGTAGCTCATGACCACAATGTCAATTTCCTAATCCACATTCTCGGTCCATTAGTATAACCTATAGTATGACCTTGGCAGACTCACTTAGTAGTTAGAAGTACTGCTCTGTTCAAAGCGCTGATCTAGTTAGAGATGTACTAGTAAAAAATAAGCCCTCAACTACCTTACAATTCCCTTGGAGAGGCTGACAGGCAAACATACAGTCAGACTGTACAGAAGACAGTCTGTACTCAGAGTGGTATATGCAACTAAGATGATTGAACAAAAGCTTCAAGAAGGTGGCACTGGGGCTTTGAAGAATGGGCGAGATGTCGATTTACAATGATGAGAAGAAAATATGGACAAAGGCAGGAAGTACAGTACGACATTCATGGTTGGGCAAAAACGGGATTATAGTGGGCAAACTGAAATACTAGGATGTGAACTTGATTAGGTAGAACCTAATTGAGAAAGGTTTTAAAATACCAGATTACTTTTTAAATTCTATTTCAAAAGGAATGGAGAGGCTATAGAAGTTATTTAGCAGTGAAAGGACATGACCAAAGCAGTTTTAAAGGAGTAACCTATTGATAGTATCTTGGTTGGATTGGGGAGTAGAGAGTCTATAGGTGGGGGTCAATTAGGAAGTTATGTTAAACACAGAGTAGTAAACTGTAAGGGCCCCTGAGGTAAGAACTGACAATAGGAAAAGAAAATAATGATGAATTTGTGAGACATTCTGAAGGAAGAATCAATTAGGTAAACTTGGTTTTTAGCAACGTGTGGGAGCAGTACAAGAAGAAATAAACATAAATGTTTCTGAGGCATCAAAGCTGGGTGCCTGGTCGGATAATGGTTCCATTAATGGAAGTAAAAGTTCAGCAAGAGAAACTTAGGGGGAAATGGTAAGTTCAGTTTCAATCACATCGAGAGGCTGGTCAGCAGGTAACAGGACAGGTTCTTGATAGAAAAGGCACAATGAAAGGTGGATTCATGAGAGTGGAAGGGAGTGAGACCTCAAAGAAGGAAAGTAAGGAAGCTAAAGACAGGACCTTCGGGGCCCTGCACTGTTAGGGGATAATCAGAGGAAAAGCCAGCAAAGACATAAAAAGCGTGGTTAGTGAGCAGGAGGGGACTCCTGTGGAATCAAGGTTTTCACCCAGAAAGAGGCAGGGGCTTGCATATGGGAGAAAAGACCTTTGGATCTGGTGACCAGCAGCCACTTTGAATAAGTGTGCTCAGCTAGACTGCAAGGATTCGGGAGTTTAGAGCAGGTGGTGAGGGAGGAAAGTCAGAGAATGTACGTTGCTTCCTCCATAGACAGAGGAGAGAACAATGATAGTCCTAGGAAGGCAGGTGAGGATGTCTCCAGAGAAAGAGGTTCTGTGGTTACTTTGGTTACATATTTTAGAATTAAACGTTTTTTTACAGTAAGGATTTTCTTCCCAAGACTTAATTTAAATCTTTCATTGTAAATTTTATACCTAGTTTCAGTTTCCCCAAAGACTGGGGAAGATTGAGATACAATTTACATAAAATAAAAGACACATATTGTATGCATACAGGTGGATGGGTTTTGATAATATGCATGCCTGTGTAAGATCATCACATTTAGGAGCATGACCTAATTTGATATATGTGCTTAATGTTTGCCAGGAGCACAGTGGGTCCACCGTGCCCTCCATTTTGAACAGGATGCAGACAAACCAGACTCCCCCAACCTATAACAAAACGAACAAGTTCACATATGGCTTTCAGAACATAGTAGATGCTTATGGAATTGGAACTTACCGAGAGATAAATCCAGGTAAAAAAAAGCTTGCATCGTTTCCCTCCAGAGGTTTTATTTTTTGCTTGTCATATATATATTTTTATTTCAGAGATGGGGAGAGAGAGAGAGAAACATCAGTGATGAGAGAGAATCATCGATTGGCTGCCTCCTGCACACCTCACACTGGGGATCAAGCCCACAACTCATGGGCATGTGCCCTGACCAGGAATCGAACCATGACTTCCTGGTTCATAGGTCTATGCTCAACCACAGAGCCACGCCGGCCCGGCTGTTTGTTTTATCTTTTAATGCCTCACTTTAAATGCTGTTAACAACTGGCTTAAAACGAAAGATGTCAAGACCTCAGCACGAGTGTAACTCCTGTGAAGAGGTGCCCATTTAACTCCTGTTCTCTGTTTTTTACAGAACAGGTTATTTGGAGAACTTCGTTGATTATGAAGCAAAATTTGACTGTGTAAAATTTTCATAATTTTTATTATTAAAATTTGAAAGAATTATAGAAATTACCTCATTCAAGTTCCCATCAAAGGGAGAAAAATCTTACATATTAAAAAAGAGGTGGTTTTATAGGCATGAGCTCTGTGGATTGGATTTTTCTGTGTATATGTTTTACAGATATAAAACACCTGGCTTTCTCTAGCACACCATTTGTAGGAACTGCTTTAAGCAAAAGTTTTTTCCCCAAGATATCTGACATTTTAAAATGGCTTCCCTTTTCCAGGTTAGAGAAAATATAGCAATTATTGACCATGTTGGGCACAAAGCAGATTTCTCCTCTGTTTGGAGAGTTAATTATTAAGTCAAGAGTCAGAATTCATTTTCAGCGGGAGCCTTCTTCCGGACCTGCTTTGCCCCGGGTGCTGGGCTTTCTCCTGCTTACCCAGTAGCTTTATTCAGCTGGGAAATGGTTGCTGCACAGAGAAGAAAGCTGCCTGCTCCAGGATCAGTGTCCCGGGGACTAGGAAAAAGGAATTAGAGAACAAACCACATTGTTGCCAGTGCTAGAGGCAAAGCTTTCACTTCCTGTGTTCTTTGTTTAAAACTCTAGCTGTAGCTCAGATGTTATCAGAGCTACTTTGTGAGGTGCACAGTGCCAGGGAAGATTTTCTCTGGGAGTGCAAAGTCACCTTATACTGACCTTAGCATACAGAGAGGAATTGCTTTGTCTTTTTCCTCCTTTTTTTTTTAATTAAAAAATGTTTTACTTTATTTTTATTGTTGACACTATTACAGATGTCCCCATTCTGCCCCTTTGCTTTATTTTAATACTAGAGGCCCAGTGCACAAAATTCATGCACTGCAGGGGAGAGGGGGTGTCCCTCAACCTGGCCTAGGCCCTCTCGCAGTCCGGGAGCCCTCGGGGATGTCCGACTGACAGCTTAGGGGAGCAGGCCTAAGCTGTCATTCAGACATCCTTAGCACTGCCACCACCACTGCACTCACCAGCCATGAGCCTGGCTTCTGGCTGAGCAGCGCTTCCCCCATGGGAGCGCACTGGACCACCAGGGGGCAACTCCTGAGTTGAGCATCTGCCCCCTGGTGGTCAGTGCACAGCATAGCAACTGGTCAACCATCAACTAACTGTCTGCCCCCTAGTGGTCAGTGCATGTCATAGTGAGCGGTTGAGCTGCCTTAGCATATCATTAGCATATTATGCTTTGATTGGTTGAACGGATGACCGGACACTTAGCATATTAGGCTTTTATTATATAGGATATTTTTTATTGTTGATAGTATTATAGATATCGCCCATTCTCTCCCCCCCCTTTTTTTTAATTAATTAATTTTTTATTACAGTTGACATACATCACTATATTAGTTTCAGGTGCACAACATAGTGATTAGACATTTATACACCTTACAAAGTGATCATCCCAGTAAGTCTGGTACCCATCTGACATCCTTTGGTTTCTTTATAGCTCCATATACCATCATCACTTTCCCTTTCCTATTTGCTGTGATGTTTGGGGACTTTGGCCATGGCATTTTGATGACCCTGTTTGCTGTATGGATGGTGTTAAGGGAGAGCCGGATCCTCTCCCAGAAGAATGAGAATGAGGTAATGTTTAAGTTACATCTTGCAGTAGACTGAAATTTTATAATTCCTCAAGCATTCATTATGAAAATTATGATCTGGAAGTCTTCTGTCATGAATTTATAGAGAAGTTATATTAATTTTAACACTTAAAGAGACCACATGCTGTGAAAGTGAATTTCTTATTTGCATTGTATTTTGATCTTTACTTCAAGCTCTCTGACCCAGGATGGGGTTAAGTGGTATGAAGGGAAGGGTATAGTGTTTTCTAAACAACATTGTCCTAACATGAGCTACAGCAAGTACATTTCATTGACTTCTTTCTTCTGGTTCCCAGATGTTTAGCACTGTGTTCAGCGGACGGTACATTATTCTGTTGATGGGTGTATTCTCCATCTACACTGGCCTCATCTACAACGATTGCTTTTCCAAGTCTCTCAATATCTTTGGATCATCCTGGAGCGTACGGCCAATGTTCATGTCTAATTGGACGTAAGTTGCAAAAGAAGCTAAAAGTCAAAGCTTATTCCTTTCATATTCACCTCTGATTTTCCAGACAAGTGGTAAACTAACACTTCTTTAGGAGCTGGTTGGCGATGTCTCTGTTTCAGAAGAATGCAGCGTCTCCTCTTATTTATCCTCCACAAACTTTGTGGTTTGCTCAGCAGTCTCAAGGAGCTGAGGCTAAAATAGGCATATTGATTATTTTTATAGATTAAAAGCAGATTCTCCAAATTCCCGACTTGGTTGTGTGTATGTGTTTAAGTTTGTTGTTGTTATCTCTGATCCCTTCTCATCTTAGATGCTCGTCCCTATTCTTTTTATTGAAGAGATGAGATAGCTAGAGTAGTTTCTTTTGGGGTCAGTTTCTGTTGATAAAAAAATAAATACAACTTTTCTCCTAATTTAGGGAGGAAACGCTTCGGGGGAACCCTGTGCTCCAGTTGGACCCAGCTGTCCCTGGAGTTTTTGGTGGACCATACCCTTTTGGCATCGATCCAGTAAGAGCACTTCTCTCCTATATGTCTAACACTAAAATGTTAAATTGTGACCCTAAAGTGAGAGAATAAAGTGAAGATAAATAGTTATTTGGTTTTTAGTTGACATATATATTTTTGGAAATCCTTGGTTTATCTGTTCAGTGTACTTCAAAGCCATAAAAGACCCAAGTGCCTTGGGAAGCCAAAATAATTTTTCCTGCATTGCTAATTTCAGAGTGGTTAGTAATATTTACTCTGGGAAGATTGATTTTCAAGACTTCTTCCCAGTTTAATTTATTTAACTTAATTTGTTTGTCTTTTTCACAGAACAGAAATAGCTCTTCCCTCTGGGTTTCAACTTATATTCTTATCTTTACATACTATAAGAACTTATCCCAGAATTTAATTATTTTTTTTCAAATACTTAGACAAATAAGTGTGATTAAATCTTTTGTTTTGTGTGCCTAAGAAAGGGGGTAGAGGAACTGAAGAATAAGTGTTAGACAGTAACGATTATAAAATTTCAGGTGGGAAACATTATGGCCCAGAGAGATTAAGGTTTCTTATTAAAATGGGAAATAAATTGTTCCTAGCTTGTTTGGCTCAGTGGCTAGAGCATTGACCTGCAGACCAAAGGGTTCAATTCCAGTAAAGGGCACATACCTTGGTTGCAGGCTCCTCCCCCACCCAGACCCTGGTCAGGGCTTCTGCAGGAGGCAACCAATCGATGGGTTTCTCTTACATCCATGTTTCTCTCTGCCTTTCCCTCTCTCTTCTACTCTCCCTAAAAATCAATGGAGCCCTGGCTGGTTTGTCTCAGTAGATAGAGCGTCAGCCTGCAGACTGAAGGGTCCCAGGTTCAATTCCTGTCAAGGGCACATGCCCGGGTTGCGGGCTTGATCCCTAGTGGGGTGGGGGGTGCTGGAGGCAGCCGATCCATGATTCTCTCTCATCATTGATGTTTCTATCTCTCTCTCCCTCTCCCTTCCTCTCTGAAATCAACAAAGACATATTTAAATCAATATATATATATATATAATCGCCCTAACTGGTTTGGCTCAGTGGATAGAGCATCAGCCTGCAGACTGAAAGGTCCCAGGTTCAATTCCAGTCAAGGGCATGTACCTTGGTTGCAGGCACATCCCCAGTAGGAGGTGTGCAGGAGGCAGCTGATCGATATTTCTCTCCCATCGATGTTTCTAACTCTCTATCCCTCTCCCTTCCTCTCTGTAAAAATATCAATAAAATATATTTTTTAAAAAAATATATATATATAATCAATAAATATTATATATATATACATATACACACACACACATTTTTTTAAAAAGTCAATGGAAAAATATCCTCGGGTGAGGATTAATAATAATAATAAAATAAAATGGGAAATAATCTGCCTTTAAAAATACTTCAGATTGTTATAGGTGAGGAGAAGTGTTTGCAAAAAAAAAAAAAGTGGGGAGATACAGAGTTGATTATTTTAATTATTAGAGAAGTTAATGTTACTGAAATGCTTACTATGGGCCAGAAATATGTCCTGAGCCCTCAGCATATCTGATTTATCCTTAATTTAAGGATGATGCTATCTCTATTATACAGATAAGGAAACAGGCTTGGAGAAGTTTAATAGCATGTTACATATGCATTTAACAAATGTCTATGAATCCCTATTGTCTGCAAGGCATAGTGCCTTCTGAGGGAAACACAGAACTTTAAGACATAATTCCTGCCCTCAAGTAGTTTAGAGTCTAATAATATTTCTTCACATTTATATAGTTTCTGTAGTTACAAAGGTTTTTTTGTAGATATTCCATTGGATACTTACGGGGTAGATACTGGGTTTGAAGTGACTGTGGGGGACACTCAGGAAAATGTCAGTCAGGCAGTTGGAGTCGTAGAGCTGAATTTCAGGTGAGATTGGGCTGGAGAGAGAACGAGTCACAACTTTTCAGGTTAGAGGTCACTGAGAATCAGCCTCACGAAGAGGCCAGTTCAGAGGCTGGATGGTAGAAGATCCTGCTTGTCAGGCTACAGGTTTTGCACTTTAGCCTAGAGATGATGGTGGGGATTCAGGGGGAGGTTTTGGCTCAGGGAAATGACTGCGTCAGAGTCACAACTTAGGAAATGTTATCTGATGGCCATGTTATCTGGCAGCAGAACTGTCAGGAAAGTATTACAGGCATCCAGGTCTTAGGGGATAACGCTTAAGGCAATTAATATTTAAAAAGTAGATGGACTGCCCTAGCCAGTTTGGCTCCGTGGATAGAGTGTCCGCCTGGGGACTAAATGGGCCCGGTTCGATTCCAGTCAAGGGCACATGCCTGGGTTGCGGGCTCGATCCCCAGTAGGGGGAGTGCAGGCTGATCAATAATTCTCTCTCATCATTGATGGTTCCTCTCTCTCTCCCTCTCCCTTCTTCTCTGAAATCATAAAAATATATTTAAAAATAAACAAATAAAGCTTCTTTAAAAAAAAAAAAGTAGATGGATCGACAGCACCACAGGGACATGATCAGTAAAACACAAGATTGTGGAAACATCTACACATAACTGGGTAACTGACCCAATTTCTTCAACAAATATTTTGTAAGGAATAAAAAATGAGAGCTGGAGGGAAAACCTACAGATTGAGACTTTAAAGCTATATCAACAGTCACAGTGTATAGGCCTGTCTGGACCTTACTTTGAATAAATGAGTTATTAAAAAGCATTTGGACACAATCCAGGGAAGTTTGAATGTTGACTATATATTTCATGATATTAAGGAATCATTGTTACTGTTTTAGGGTGTGACAATAATATTGTGGTGATGTTCTTAAAATGAATCCTTTTTAGAGATCTGCACTGAAATATTTACAGTAAAATTATATGGTACCTGGATTTTGCTTCAGAATAATATGGAGGTGGGGAGTGGGTTGAGGGTATGATGGAGTCAGATTGACCAAGAGTGCATAGGTGAATAATAATTGTTGAAAATAGGTGATGTCCATGTGGGAGTTGTCTGTTATACTATTCTCTCTACTTAAGAATGTGTTTAGAATTTTCCACAATTAAAAAACAACCCTATTTTTTAAATAGGTGACTGTTTTTCCATTTGAGCACTCTTTGTAATACCCTTTTGTTTCCTTGGGTTGTGACAGATTTGGAACATTGCTACTAATAAACTGACCTTCCTCAACTCCTTTAAGATGAAGATGTCCGTTATCCTTGGTATCATCCACATGATGTTTGGAGTCGGTCTGAGCCTTTTCAACCATATGTGAGTCGCTCTGTTTCTGTCATAAGAATGTGCATAGTTTAGGTAATGCTTTTGCCTAAGAAATTCATGGCATCTGGGGGGAGGGATTAGAAACTCAGAACCCTGTTCTGTGTTTAAAAAGTGCTTTTAAGAAATGGGGCTTACTTAGTATTAGTGTCTTAAAAATTTACAGTTGCAGTGAAGATCTTTGAGAGAACCTTGTGTAATTTTCATCAAAATGAGTGAATTATTTTTTTCCTTGATGTGTAACTCGCATGAAATTTTGAACTGTGTCTTGGAATGTACTAGATTTTCCAATCTCTCTCTCATGGGAGAATGGAGAGGATGGTACTGGAACTGTTCAAGGTCCAAAAGTTTGGAAGTCAGCGTTAATCCTGTTTGTCTCTGTTGCCTCCGGTGCTTCTGGCTCTTGCTTCTTAAAGTAATAAAGACAGAATTGAGGGAGCCATAGGAGAAAATTTAGTGAGGGCTCCTCTTGGTGTAGGGGTGGCCCTGGGTCTGTTCACTTCTCACGTGTTTTTTTTTCTCTCTTCCTTTTTAGCTATTTCAAGAAGCCCCTGAATATCTACTTTGGGTTTATTCCTGAAATAATCTTCATGACCTCTTTGTTTGGCTACTTGGTTATCCTTATTTTTTACAAGTGGACGGCTTATGACGCTTTTACATCTGAGAAAGCACCAAGCCTTCTGATCCATTTCATAAACATGTTCGTCTTTAACTACGAGGACATTCATAATTCAATGCTATATTCTGGGCAGGTGCGTCAGCCCAGAAGTGGACTGTCTTAGGTGGTTATCCTAGGTCAGGAAGTTAGATGTTTCTGTTACCCTAAAAAAAACTTAAATCCCTTTCTGTAGGATTTGGTTTTCAATTCATGCATTTAGATCTAAATTTAGCCTGTCCTCCTTACTTGGGAGGGTCTACTGTAATTTTTGTATCAGAAAGGGTAGAATAATAACTCTCGTCCTATGGGACAATTCCTGGGCTTTGCCACATCTGCTAATTATTTTGAGAATCTGGATAGCATTATTCACAAGTCAGTAAGAAAGTACTGTTTGGGGGGTAATTTGTGCTGGAATTGGAAACTGCATGTTTGATTAATGTGATGTGCCTTGTCCTTCTTTGCAGAAAGGAGTTCAGTGTTTCCTAGTTGTGGTCGCATTGCTGTGTGTACCATGGATGCTACTGTTTAAACCGCTGGTCCTTCGCCATCAGTATTTGAGGAGGAAGCATTTGGTGGGTATATATCTGTTGCTGAAAGTTACTATATATTTTTTTAAGATCAAGACAATTCCTCATTGGATCTAATGAATTGTGCATAAGTCTATATACTCTTAAAGTGCATTTGTGTCATATCCCAGCATGAGCACTGGACCTGCTGAAATCAAAAAGTGTTTTTGTTGCCTGGACATCTGGATTCAGCTTTGAGTAGCTCGGGTATAGAGAATAGTCATCAGTGTTTACCTTTCCTGGTCATGTTTGCTCATGCTGTGCTCAGCAAAATCCAGGTCTGGGCCTGTCTAGATGCAGCATCAGACACAACAGGCAGCGAGAGCTGCAGCCGTGTGAACCCTCATGTGGTTTGCCTGGGCAACCACAGGGCTGACACCGAGACATTTTCCTTTGAAATAAGACCGTGATGCTCTCACCAACCAAAACATCCGGGGGAAAGATTTGGCTTGAAGCATGTTGTTTTTTCTTTTTAAAAAGCAGCATACATACTTGTGTTTACTTAATGTATGTGTGCATGTGAATTCTACACACACACACACACACACACACACACATGCTTAAGTTGCCAAATGTTCACTTCTAACTTCTAGCTATGCAGTAATGCTTACTTATTACACTGTGGTAAAATCCAAAAGATCTTTTTGCATGACTCTCATATGGCTGTTAGATTATTATTCCTGTTGGAGAGCAGCTGAGTTACAAGACCCTCCTTCTCCCTTTTCTGACCATCTTCACCCTTCCATGTCCCCTGCATTCGTCTCCCCCTTCACTCCCTCCCTCTTTTGTTTTCTTCTCCCTTCCTCTTTTCTTCCCTTCACTATCAGGAAGGGCAACCTGTGGAGGCCCCAGTCAGCCCAACCCCGAGCCAACAGGGACTAGAGGCAGCAGCGGCTGCAACAGTGAGTGAATTTAAACCAACAAACCATCACATTTTGTGTAAAGAGGTGGCAAACAGTGCAGCAGAATTCTTGTTAACTATATTGAGAGCGTGGGACATGTGTGCTCTTGTTACTCATTGAGACGACAGAAAAGAGTTCCACCTCTTATGAGTAGATTCTGATATCATCTTTCCCCTTGGTCTACTAAGTTTCTATTCAGATATGTAAGTACAGTCATGGTTATGGAAGCAGAGTGGCTGTTGTACCCTCTCCGGGTCCCAATCATCTTAATCCAAGATGGCGCTCTTGGACCCATCCACTTTCATGTCTGTATTTTGTGACCATGTATTGGGTGATTTTTCAGCCCGGAGCAAGAGCATCTCTGTGATTCTTGATTTCCCGACACTTAAAGGTCTGCTTCCGAAGATGCTTGGACATTTGGCCCATTTTAGCTGTGACTTAGTCTCCTTCCATTGGAAGCTTATACATGTCTACCCTCACGTCCTCAGCTGTTCCAGTGAGAACTCCGCTCTGCCGTGTGTCTTGTGTGTCTTGCACATCTGGGGTAATAACCAGAGTCATCTCTGTTTTGATCTTTCCTTCTTCCAATACTAGCTTATAATTCAGTATCAGCAATTTGAATGTTAAGTATTTCAATATCTGTCCTTAAAAACATCACTTAACCAAAATCTTACAATGCCCTAATATTAAACTAGTACAATCTATTCTAAGTAATGAATCTATAGGATTTTTAAGGGTCACCAGTAGTGATCACTCATGTACTGTTGTGTTCTAGTAGCATTGTACTCCTTTAAAAGAAAATGAAATATTTAGATGGATAACCATTTCCTTCATTAGATGTCTCTGATCACTTTAAACTTTGAAAACTATGATCATCCTTCTAGAACTAGTCTAAGAGGGCTGATATTTTGAATAAGAAGATATTTTAATATTGCTACTTAAATTATTATCAAGTAGGAACTTTCTCTTTTCCTATAAGAAAAAAAAATATTAAAAACCCTTAAAATACAAACTATCCATGTATTTACATTCTTTCTATGGGCTCTCTTTCTGCTAGTCTTAATGTTTTTAAGGTGTGCTTCTGATGTATCAATCTTGATGCTTTTAAATCTGGCATCCTCTTCTTTCATACTATGCAAGTTAAAAGTCCCCAGTCTAGAAACCCCCACATTCATAGGGTCTTCTTAGCCCACTGGTTTTTTTAGCCAAACATCTGGAGAGCAGCCTAAAGGCATCAGGTTGATAACTCTCTAACAAGGACTCTGGATTCTTGACCCCAAGTGCTGAGGATATGACACGGATCTGTTTTTGTTCTGTTCTGTGTCTTCTTGGTTGTCTGTAAGCCTGTGTCACAGTTTAGTTTTTTTCTTCTTTCTGCTGGTGTGTGTGTGTCTCATCCCCCTTCCTAAAACTCTCATACCCTGTGTTCTGAAAGGACAGTCGCTAGTGTCTAGCTGGGAGGCTTAACCTGTCTGCCCCTTACTCTATCCTCTAGTGGGGGGAAGCTTCAGAACTGGCCTTCTGCTTTAGTGCCTTGAAGCCTGCCTCCTGTACCCTAGAACCCATCCCAGGAGTCCTCTCCTGTCACCCATGCCCTTCGTTGCCCTTTCAGTTCATCTTTTGAGGGTTGTCAGGTTCATACTTGTGTGACCTGGAGGTACCCAGGGCCTCAGTGGTTCCTGAATCTGACTTCATATCAGAATCACCTGGTGAACTTGACATCTGTTTTTTAGGGTATTAAAACAGTTAAGTGGAAGAAAAAATAAAAATGGTCTATAATCCTATGACCCAGAGAATCCCCTACTGACATTAAAAAATACAATTAAGGCAATAGGTGACCTTGGTTAGAAAATGCAAATAAGGGAACATTTGAGATCTTGCTCCCCAGCATATGTTGTCAGTTTGGCTCCAATAAAAATTTGGGGAGGGGAAAGAAAATGCAAATAATACTGAAAGCGAAAGCCTGCCTGTCCCCAGAACCCTTCTCCTCCTTCAGGATATTATTAACAGCATTTTACCTCCAAATTTCTATCATCTTCTGAGATAAGTGCATATGTGGATGTACATATATTTTTTGAGACACATCAGAATTGTGTTTAAACTGTAGCACTATTTTGTCCCTTGATTTATTAAGTTATTAAAAATTTAGTGTATCTTGGAGATTGTGTCATAGTTATTCTTACTCTTTTTTATAGTTGCCCAGCATTCCATAGGCCATTCTACTGAATCTGCTAAAATTATGTGATCACTTTCTTACTAATGGATGTGTTCATTGTTCCCAGTTCTTTGCTATTACAAGTAGCAATTCAGGGAACATCCTTGATAAAATTTCACACGCAAGTTCCCAATGGTGGGTGGGATTGGATTGCTGAGTCTCAAAGGGTGCATGCATTTTCAGTTTTGATAAACAATCAAAATGATTATACAGTTTGTACTTGAGGGTATATATTTTTAATATAGATTTCCTAGGTTCCACCCCAGACCTACTGAATTTGCACTTTCTGGGAATAGTATTTGAGAGTCTCTGTGTACTGAAGCGCAGCTTGCAAGGTGACTCTGATGCAATGGTTCTCTACCCAGCACGTGAGAACCGCTGCTAGGAGAGAGAGCATTTGTCCACACGGGGATCTGGTGGTCAGTAACTGAGAACAGGTGAAGGTGTGCATGGGGACTCCAAGCAGTTGTCCAAACCTGCTTACACATTGTGCTGCTTGCCCAGAAGGCCATTTTGCAGGAGAACAATCTTCCAACTCTTGCCTTGTTTGGTTCTCCAGACAGAAACCATACGAAGTGGTCCTAGGAGCTATTTCTTTTTTTAAAATATGTTTTTATTGGCTTTAGAGAGGGAGGGAGAGGGAAAGAGAAACATTGATCAGCTGCCTCCAGCATGCCCTCTACTGGGGATTGAGCCTGCAATCCAGGCATGTGCCCGGATTGGGAATCGAACCAGCGACTTTTGGTGCATGGGACTAGGCTCAACCAACTGAGCAACACCGGCCAGGGCCAGGGGCTGTTTCTTCAGCTCCTTTCACTCTGGGGCAGGTTAGCACTAATTAATATCGGTCAGACTTAGTCCCAGTTCTGCCTAGTTTCTGTAGCCACAGAGTCCTTTTGCCTGAATAAACCTAAACTTTCCCAAATCAGGTTGATGTAGAAATTCAGGTTCTAGAGACCCTACTGAAAACTATGCCTGGGAAGTGAGGAGAAGCCACACCCATCAGCATCTGCCCACATGCCCGGAAACAGTTGTTTTCACTCCAGAGTCCTCCACGGAAGGAAAGGAGCCTCTTTCTTTTTGTAAACTCAGTATCCTCTAGCAGGAAGCTGACGTACATGAAGCTTCTTTCCCTTCCCTTTGTTCCGGAGCAGAGGCCAGCACTAGCACATTTCTGGGAGAGGTGGCTGGAACTCTTGGGGCTCCTGTTGAAAGCTTATCAGACAGACCAGGTTACAATCGTCATGTCATTCCGTGCCCCTCCCTCTTACAAAGTCTACTCTTTAGTTCAGTTTCAAGAACACTTAGGCCATTGAAAGCTTTGCAGATAGAGCTACACTTGCTGTGAGAGTCTGTTCGTATTAAGCTTTTCCATTCAAGCAGGATTCTTAATTAGCATTGACCGAGGCAAGGTTGGTGTCTCTGGGTGCAGCAGACAGAACTGCATATTTCCTCCCATCAGGATGAGTTGGTAAATGCAGTTGGGGCTGGGGCTGGGGCACTGGTGGCTGGGGTGGGAACAGTGGTTTGTTTTTACTTAGCTGTTTGACCAGCTGGTTTTGCTTTTGTTGTTAGAATATGTACTTTTCTGAGGTTTGTATGTACTAACCATCGCCCTTCCCCACCTCACAAAATGTCATATTAAAGCCCAGGCAAATTCTACTCTTTCTGTTCATGTGTGTAGGGAACTGTCAACTTTGGTGGGATCAGGGTGGGCAACGGACCGACAGAGGAGGATGCTGAGATTATTCAGCATGACCAGCTCTCCACCCATTCAGAAGATGCAGAAGAGGTAAGATCCAGTGGTGTGGGCTTCCTCTCCTTCCACTTTGGGTCAGCCCTAGTCTGTGTCCCTAAGTGGCTTCGCTCCAGTCTTCTCCTTGAAAAGTGAAAATCTAATCCTAATGATCAGCCTGCCTTCTGGACCTCTCAGGGCACCTCAGCTTTTTCCGAGGGGCCCCGTAAACTCCAGGTGTTGCCGGCAGAGCCCACAGCAGTTTTTTCTGTTGTTCCACTTCTTAACTTCTGCATTGCATGCCGATCTCCATTACCAACTGCTCTCCTGGGCACCGAGGCAGAGTCGGCCCCAGCTTCCCAGCTCTTATTACCAGGAACACAGCCCACGCAGGCAGCATCTGCATCCCTTGCGCCTTCCAAGGATGCTTCCAGTTGGAACTGTAACCCCTGATGCTTTGGAAGTCCTGTCCCACCGAAGTGCTCTTATTGCAGAGGTTTCATTTGAGCCTTTTAAAAATGCCTACTTTTTATAGGGAGCGTGAAAAATGTTAGGCTAAGCTAGACTTTTCCTGCACCACCACCGCCAAGCTCAGCTTTTTAAAACTCACAGTCTTTGCCTAACCACTCATAGCACAAAGCCTCTGACCTTTTGGATCTCATCCATTCATTGTATTCTTTTTAAAGCAAATAGGAGTTGAGGACCCCGGGTGACTGGACTTTTTAGTCTGACTGACCACTTTCACTATGTGTATGACCTTTTAAAAAAGAAATTGCAAGGGTAGGGGTGCCTTTTAAAAATATGTCTTACTGCTCTGAATCCTGCTGATGTTGCTTTCCTGTATGCTGAGGAGGCTGCCTCCGACATGTTAGACCCACTTAACCTTACCCGTCCTCCCCACGAAGCAATGGTAGTCTTGTGTTCGTGACTTGACCTTGTGTGTGCCACGGCTTCCCACTAAGTGTAACTTTGTGTTTTCAAGCCTACCGAGGATGAAGCGGTAAGAAACAAGCTGCTTTGCCTTCATGTTTATCTGGGGCTTGTCTTCCCGTCCTTGTGATCACTTTGCTGACCCTGCTGCATCTGGGGGCCACACATGACACCCGCGTACCCTGCATCTCACTGGCATTTCTAACCAGTCCGTGAATCTGTGTTCTGAAAAAGCTCATCTCCATTAACTGCATCTCATGTGGGTCACCTCTGTCTTTGTTTCATTGACTTCGCTGATCTAATACCTCTGAGAATGGCTTTGTAAGGAGCTACAAGTAATGTCTACATTGGCATTCTTGAAGTGACTCCCCTTGGGGGTTAAATCCCATTGGCTTCTGCCTGCCTCTCCTGTGATGTTATGTATGGTCGCTCTGCCACTGGGAGTAGCTGTTTCCTCCCTGGTCCTCTGAGTGCTTATGAGTAAAGCTTCCCTTTCCTCCCTGTCTGAGATGCAGCCAGCCTCTTCCTGCTGCCCTCATCAGCTTGATGATGCTTGAAGTGACAGTTGCTGGACCCTCGCCTTGGGGTCAGCTCTACCTCTGTGTGACCCAGGTGGGAAGTAGCGTTCAAAAGGAGGCTTTGTCTCTTAGATGTATCCCAGTAAAAAAAACAACCCATCCGCGATATTAGCCACACACACAGCATCGTAACAGGGAATAGAAAGAAAGTTGGCGAAATGTTCAGGCTGCATCTGGAGAAGGCCTTCTAGCTCAGCAAGAATTCACTTAGCAAAATACAAGTTTGAAATCGGGTTTTTTAAAGGCCATGCTGCACTGTTTGCATCTTCCCCCCAAATTTCTCTCTGAAATACTTAGATCCATAAACCCTTCCCTTCCCTGGCTCTCCTGGTCTCTGTAAGGGGGCAGCTGATAGGAATGGGAAAAATCTCTGCTGTTTTGTGTAAAAACAGTGCTCAGCCTTCCTACAGGCTGAGAGGCTGCTGGCATCCAGGACCTTCGTGTTCCTCTGGACCGCTCATCTGTGCACAGTCTCTGGCTGGGCCGCCTGGAAGGGATGTGGGAGTGTGTTCCATGTTAGTGAGGAGCCCAGCCCCTCCCAGTAACATCTCCTCCGACAACACTGCTCTTCCTAAATGTCATACTAACTGAGCACCCAAATGCCATGGTCATTGCCAGAAAAGTCCTTATTTGTAGCCATGTCCCAGGGGAGTGAGCATTGAAACAAGATGGACTGTAATTCAGCTGCCCTAGTCTCTGGCCCCCCAGATCCCTAAGGGTTCTGGTTTTCATAGCTTCCTAAGTAGTCATAACACTTTATCAAACACATACACAGTTTAGTTTGCTACAGATAGATTTGGATAACTGTCACAGTTATCTAGAGATTTCAAACAAAACAGAATTCTTAAAAAATCCAGCCTACTTCTCCTAGAACTTCCCCAAATTGCTTGGCTGGGAAAACCTGTTTGCCGCATACAGGTCATTGCTCCAGCCCAGTGGGAGCAGTGGTCCCTCTCCTGGGGGGGCACTCAGTACAGTTGCAGACCAGGGCCAGGTCATGTGATTGTCTAGGAAACCTTTGAAGACTGTAGCCATTCAGCAAGGGTCAGTGGTACCTCTCCCTACTGTGTCATCTCATCAGGTGTGCTCATCCAACCCATCCATCCATCCAATCACCCTCCACGTGTCAAGCCTCTGTTCAATGCTACAGGAACTGAAAGAAGGAAAACACAGTCCTTGCCTTCAAGGAGCTCCCAAACAAATTGAGGAAACAGTCTGGGCGGTAGATGCTGTGATCATAGTGTGCCCAGGATGCTGTGGGAACACAGAAAGGGGGCACCTGAAAAACAGAGCGGGGGTGGGAAGAGGAGACCAGGAAAGGGCTCCCTAAGGAAATTATTGCTAAGCTTAGTCTCTGTGGAGCGAGAGGGAGATGCAGAACCATCAGTATGAATAGTTATCAAGACACAGAGGCCTGCAAGCCCATCACACTTAGGGATTAAACGGGTATTCAGCTTGGCTGAAGCTCAGAGTCAGGAGTTGGGGGACTCATGAGAGATAAGACTAGAGGTTGGCAGAAATGAGCCACAGATTGTTTGGACAACAGGGGCCATCAGAGGGTGGTGAAGCTGAAAGTGACCCAACAAATGTGATTGCTGAAGTGGAGATGTTAGAGGACATACTGGATTGGGGAGGGGGCACAGTCTGGAGGCATGGGGACCAGCTAGTCTGCTGTGAGTCAGGAAAAAATTGGGAGGCCTGGGAGAAGCAAGCATTTTCAGGGGGAGTTAGAAAGGAAGGGACCAATAGAGACTAAGAATGAAAAAGCTACAGGTCCCAGTCCCTTAGCGAAGACTGGCAGTCAAGATTGATTGGCAGGTTTGTATCCTGGGGGACGAGTAGTGACACCGTTAGACATGAGACATGGCCTGGGAGTGCATCTTGGTGGGGTCAGCCCCCTCTCTCCCTGCCCTCATGTGTTTGCAGGGCAGTTCTGGTGGACTCTGGGTGTGGAGTCCTGTGCGTCCTGAAAGACACTAGTGAAAAGTAGACTCTGACCAAGGGCAGGGCAGGCTGGGGAGTCCCTCTGCTCCTAGGGCTCTGGGCTGGGCTGTGGGGAGAGGCCCCCAGGATGGAACGACCTCCTGTTCTAGAGTAACTTGGTTTCTCCACCTGGGAGAGTGGGAGGCCACGCAGTGCACCGGGTGCTTCCAGAGCATCTGTATTCTTCCCCCTGAAAATGCTTGCTTCTCCAGAGCTTGCAAAGTCCTACATGTGAACTCCTGGAAGCTTGTTCCAGCCCCACCCCTTTATTCTGGAAATGATTTTGGATGTTGAAGGAAAACGGAGAAAGGGAGTGTGATGAAAACAGAAACAAAAACCAAATGATATTCTATCTGGTCTTAATCAACTGTCCAAGTAGGAATTGGTAAAACTTTTTTTTTTAATATGTTTTTATTGATTTCAGAGAGAGGAAGGGAGAGGGAGAGAGAGAGAGAGAAACATCAATGATGAGAGAGAATCATCCATCGGCTGCCTCCTACAGGCCTCCTACTGCGGATCAAGCCCACAACCTAGGCATGTGCCCTGCCCCGGAATCGAACCATGACCTCCTAGTTCATGGGTCAACACTCAATTACTGAACCTCACCAGCTGGGTGGAATTGGTAAAACTTTTGCTAAAATTTCCATGTCATCTTTGCAGAAGTCACACAAAAAAAGGAGGTTGGTTATCTTGAGTGCAGTAGTTTGTTAAGCTAATTAAGTGAAGTGACTGGAGGTTTAGGGCCTGACAACTGAGAGCCGGGGGGCTTCCTACTCCCCTGGCTTATTCACAGCGGTGTTCCCACTTGGGGACTTCACACACCAGCGGGTGGGAGTGGGCTAGGGAAGGTCCTTAAAGTCCGGAACGCCATTTTCTCCGAGCGCTCTCAACTTCACAGACTAGCCGGGAGAGAAAAACAGATGTGTTGAGAAGAATCTCATGGAGACGTAGTTCATTAAAATGTAGTGTATTGAGGGAAATGGGGGTGTCCCAGTTGGGGACTAAGCCAGGCAGGATTTCAGGGGATGGCATAGCTGAAGTCACCACTGGAGTTCAACACTGGGGGCTCCTGGCCCATGGAGCGCAAAGGGCCATGTGGCACAGCCCAGACTCCACACATCCCCCGCCTTACGTCTTCTCTCTGGCTTCCCCACCGCAGTTTGACTTTGGAGACACGATGGTGCACCAGGCCATCCACACCATCGAGTACTGCCTGGGCTGCATCTCCAACACCGCCTCGTACCTGCGGCTCTGGGCCCTCAGCCTCGCCCACGCACGTGAGTGTATTTCTCTCAGATCAAAAACGATGGCTTTCCCCCTCTCTGGGCACTCTCTCAGGTGGGCCTTAAAGAGAGTGGGAGTTACAAAAAGTTTCTGGGATTATTCAGACTCCAGAGTCCAGAGAGAATGATGTCCAGATGGGAGGGTCAGCGCTTTCGCCAGGTTAGCAATGCACAGTGGTCCCACTCAGGTCGTGGGAAGCCAGTATGCAAGGAGCACTCCAGGGGAGGGTGAGAGAGCAAAATGCAAGGCCCACAGCGCTGCTCACCGAATAAACCAGAGGTCGTGTCTCTCCCCTGTCCCCAGAGCTGTCGGAGGTGCTGTGGACCATGGTGATCCACATGGGCCTGAAGGTGAAGAGCTTGGCAGGAAGTCTGGCGCTGTTCTTCATCTTCATCGCCTTTGCCACCCTGACCGTGGCCATCCTCCTGATCATGGAGGGCCTCTCGGCCTTCCTCCACGCACTGCGGTTACACTGGTGAGGGGAGCGGCGGGGGGAGGCGATATGGGGACGTGTCCTTGGCTGCACCGAGGGCAGCTTTGCTCCTGTCCAGCATCCAGAGCACTAGGAAGTGTCTGCTTTCACATCATTACACCCAGGACCTATCTTAGGAGTGAGCTCCCGGAAATGCCCCCGATAAGCACAGCTCACTTTCAGAGCCTCCGGGGAGAATTCTCGGTGGGTGTTGTCAGGCGCCCTCTCCCTGCCTCTCACTCTGCAGTGGTCCTGATGGTAGCTTAGAAGATCTGCTGGGGTTTTATTTTTTGTTTGCTTGGGGTGTGTTTGCTCTGGCATAGAACTTTCTCCTGTGTGCAGAGCAACGAGAACAACTCTGGAATAGGTTCTAAGCCCAAGAAGATGCTGGAGCACAGTGTACCCCAGTTTTGTCCCCTGGTTCTGGCCTTGTGCCAGCATCTTTGAGGAGGACCCCTGACAGCTCGTGGAGGGGGGGGGGGGGGTCCTGCTTCCCTAGGGTGTATGTCAGTGCACCGAAGAAGCAGCTTCAGAAGGGCAGGTTTGAGGTGGGTTTGTTTTCTTTGATGTAGTTTGTGGCTCTTCATGGCCCTGCATGGGGAGGGAGCTCAGCCTAGGGAGTAGGAGAGCTGGAGTCTGGCCTGGACTGTGACTCCGTGACCTCAAAGTAGGGTTGCCAGATTCAGCAAACATTACAGAACACCTGTCAAATTTGAATTTCAGATCAACAGTGAATAGTTGGGTGGGATTTTGTCTTATAGTGTAAGTATTTTCCAAATGTGCATGGGACATACTTACACTAAAACTGTGTAGCCTGTGCTACTTCTGGCTACCCAGCCCCTTTGACTCTCCATTTCCTCCATTATGATCTGATTCTCCCTTTTTGGGTCTCAAACCCCAGTGGCTCTGGAAGCTCTGGACCCTCTCTCCACAGCAACACCTCCCCCATGTAAGCACACAGTTTTACCAGTTTAGGGGTCACAGATCCACTGACCCGACCTTAAGAACCCCTAGATGACATCATCTGTGGTGTTCATGACCTCACTGTCAGAGGGGGGCTTGGAATGTCTCTTTTCATCCAAACCTGAAGAAAACCCAGAATCTGAACCTGAAACCTCTTCTCTTCCCACCTTATCTTTGACTTTCCTCCTGGCCTTGTTGTAGCTGAGCCTCCTCAAGGATGCCACTGTTTGTTGTTCTAAATTGCAGAGGAGAAAAGTGAGGGGCATAAGGGGAGATGGGCTGGGACTTACCTTCCCTCATCAGCTCCTTTGGAGGAGTCTGTCCTGCTGGTTGGTGCACATGCTTTCTCAGTGCACAGCTGAGAAGCACCAGGGCTTCCCTCCTGCCTCACCCCCACCCCACCCCCGCCCGCCCCGCCCAGCTGCTGTTTACTGTGGAGCCAGGAGGTTAGGAGCTCCCCATGATTCAGACTGCGGGCCGCTCCCCTGTTCTTAGCTTATCAGCGTCCCCTCTCCCCAGCACACTTCCTCAGCCTCACGGTGTGAGGGAACGTCTATGTAGCCAGCCGGTGGTGACTCACTTTTTCTTGCGCTCTTGGCTTCCTTCCTTTCCTCTGTCTCCTGAGCCCTGGCCTTGAGGGAACAGTTACCACCCCACCGTGATTCCCAGGTGGGGAGCCTGCTGCCTCCTCCCGGGCGGGATGGGGCCCCGCGGTGCTGGGCCAGCACTGTTAGTTAGAGCAGTGAGCAGACGCACCACGACTCTAGTCGAGGAAGGTCGCCTGGGCTTGGGCCTGTCTCCAGAGTGAGCCCCCAGTTGGTGAAATTGTGTGTTATTGCCAGAGAACTACTTCTTCCTCAGGCTCATCGGTGGCCTTCGAGTGCCTCTGTCTCCCCACACAAATGAGCCCAAGGAAGTGACAGATGACAAGAGAGCAGGCTCCAGAATCACGCCTCCCTGGTCTAAAGTCCAGCTCTGCCCACACTGGCCGGCCGACCCCGAGGGAAGCACTTACCTCTCTGAACCTCCTTGTCTCTCATGCGGAGAGAGAGGATGAGGCTGCCAGGATTAAACGTGAAGGAATGTGCACACCAAGGGACTCACGGTGCCCTGGCACATCTAACCTGTTGTTCGGGTGCAGATCATGGCTGCCCTGCGTAAAAGTGGGGTGCCCTGTGGAAAGGGCACCTCCTTGTGGTAGCTTGTAAAGAAACTGCTTTTAGTCTGTTTAGAGAGAGGGGAGACCACTGGGTGGGAGGATAGGTGATACCATCTGAATGCCTCTCCGGTGTAGTTCGCAAGGAACAGGCTGGTCCACCACATTGCACTTGTGGGGTTTGGTAGTGGAAATATTGGGCAGAAGAGAAAAAACAGCGAAAACTCTTGCGCAGCAACGTTTCAAATCCCATCTTACTGAAGGCCTGTTTGGAGCTCATCCCTGCCTAGGGAATGGAATTGGTGCAGGTGCACCCCCTCCTGGCCGAATGTGGATGTGCTTCCAGGATGCCTGGGCAGCAGTTGTGGGTTGTGGCCACTCCTGAGGGGGCAACAGCTGGTCCTGCTGAGAATGGTGCAGGGACACGGTTGCTGTTTTTTCTGGTGCCCAGCCTGGACGTCGTCATACCTGTCACTCTACCCCTGGTATTCAGCTGGGTTCCTGATTCTGATGCAAGGACTGCCCCATTAGACAAGCTCTGGGTCTCTCCCGTGGGGACAAGAAGAAAAGCACACGATTCGATAACAGATGTAAACCACTAGTCTGAGGTCCGTGCAGGGTCAGAAGGAGGTGGGTGACATTTGAAGACAACAGTGAGCAGGTTAATGTGCCAGCCTGCCAGTTCCATCTCTGAGTCGTCTGTCCCTCTCTTTTCCCCCAACCCTATACAGTGGGTGGGCCTTCCTGTCACCCTAATTCGATGTCTTTTCTTCCTCCGGAAAGGCAAAGGCGGGATATGATTTGTTGTTAAAACTGTGGCCACTGAACTGCTTTTAGCAGAAAGACTGTTGCCCATGGCCTACCTTCTTCTCTAGCAGTATCCGCCTGTGTGTAGGTGTGCACACTTGCACACTCGCTGACTGCTTGATGGCTAATGGGACGGGACTGGGACCAGTTTGTGGTGAGGGATACAGTGGTGCCACAGCAGGACACCTTGGGAGAGCTGAGTGAATGGCTGGCTGCCCCAGAAGTAAGAGACCTGAAATGTGTCCCAGGCTGACATCACTGTCCGGACACTGGGACCATCAGACAGGCATGTGCTCCTGGCCCTGAGCTGCCCAGAGTGACAGAAAGGGCCAGAGCAGCAGCTGGGCCTAGAATCATCTTTCGGAAACTGCCTCCCCTCAGTCACACCCTGCCAGGAAAGGGAAGAGGCCCCGGAACCAGTCCCTTCACTCACTCCAGGAAACAGGTTTCCTGTTACACAGCAGGAGCCATCTCTCTCTGGACGCCCGGTTGTCCTCTGGGTCACAGGTGGCCTTTGCCAGGTGCTGAGCTGGAAGGGGTGATAGAGAAGCTCAGCCCACTGCCTGCCTGGGGCTTCCTCCCAACTGTGGTATTCTGAGGTGCGTTTTAGTGGCTTGGAGCATGGCTGGGCCTGGAGGCTCCTGAGCAGAGCCCCTAAGGAAGGAAGAACGGGCAGGGCGGGCCCCTGGGGCCCCCTTGCACCCTCACACAGAGAACTTCATGTTTGTACTTTCTCAGGAAGCACACGTTTCCCTGGTTTACAGGGAGAGGAGGGTGGGGAGACCGACAGGGAAACTGCTTTCCAGCTCTGTGCCAGGAGGTTGGGTGAGCTCACTGAGAAGGAGGGTGAAGTCAGGCTAGCCCAGAGGGGCCAGGATGTCTTTAAGTCACACAGAGGGATGGCAAGAGAAGGGTGGTGACCCCGTGGGTCTCTGAGAACGTCTCCCTTCACCCAGTTTGGAATCGGAATTGTTTGTGTGGTTAGCCGGCCAGGAGGTCGGAATTCTGATCCCTCCTGGGCCTGGAGGGGACTTGCCCACTATCTGGCTACATATTCTTGAATGAAAATGGGACGAGTCCATCTCTTTTCAGTTGTCCAGCAATCCCTTGCCATGTGCAGACACAGCCCACCCAACATGAAGAATGCAGACCTGACAGCAGTGGGCGCCCAGCAGGAACCTAGCTCCCTCCCCGCCACCTTCCCCAGTAGCAGCAACTGGCAGAAGGGCTTCTCAGGAGTGTTAGGATATGGGGCGGATCCAGTCCTGGTATGACTGACTTGGGTCCTGGATCCTGTTTTACCTGGGGCTTGGCCAGAGTCTGGGATGTTTGGGGACCTAGGCCCAGGCCCTGGAATGTGGGGCTGGGGGAGAGATGGCCTCACTGAACATTGTTCACCTCTTCTCCCCAGGTGTGGAGCTGAAAGCCCTGCAGTCAGTGCCCCAGCCAGCACCCCGAGGCTGAAGGGGCCTGAGGGCCTCTCAGTGCCACCTGCAGACAGTCCTCCTGGTTTACCTGCCCAGGCCACGCCCCACGCTTTCCTCTCTGCTAATTGCTCCCCTCTGGGTTTGGGGGAGGAGGAAGCCCTGTGTGTAAACTATTGCCCGCAGCCTGCCTCCCCCTGTCCTTGCTCCGGTTCTGGTGCCCCCAGGGTCACTCAGCCCCAGTGGAAACTATTCCTCAGGGCAGCTCTCCTTGGCTTTTCTAGCCTCTGAATCATGCATTTTTCTGCCCATATTTGGTGCTGATTTGGTTGCTGGGCAGCCATCCAGGGCGAGTTTGCAGGGGGAAGCCCGGCCAAGTGTTCACAGGATCGAGCTCCTCTTCCCCTCGAGTCCGTCTGATAGGGCCCCAGGGAGACGGGCAGGGATGGACGCCGAGCTGCCTGGGAAGGGAGTTGAAGCTCTGTTTTTCCTTTCAGTCCCCAAGAGAAGAATTCTTTCTCAGATGTTTTTGTAGTTGGAGCATATTTTTGCCATGGCTTTGAGGAGACTTCCCCTCCTGACTTCCCCCCTTTCCTGAGAATTTCCTCCCCTAACTCAAAAGCCTTGAATGTTCACTCCCAAGCCTCCCTTCTCCTTCCTCCCCACAAGGGAACAATAAGCAAGAAAACAGTGGTGCTCGCAGGGTTCCCGGGGCTGAATTCACAGCCGCTTGGGGCTTCCCTCAGAGGTCGCTGTGAGCCCTGCCAGGCGACGGCTGTTTGGGCTGTTAGAAACTCGTGCCGGCTGAACTTCTGCACATGGCCCTCTGCTCAGCAGGTCAGAGCAGGACTGAGGACACTGCTTGCTGAGGGCAGGCCCTGGGCTTCAGAGGCAGGGCTGTGTGCCCTAGGAGGAGGCCGAGTTCTGGGCTTGGGCTGGCAGAGGCAGCAGGAGGCAGAGGGCTTTCCCACGCTCACCTAGGAGAGTAAGGCTTCGGGGAGCGTGGTCGGGCATCTTTCTGGCCAGCTGTGAAATCCCAAAAAGTTTCTGTGGGATGATGACTTCCCTCTTCCTTTTCCCCAGGGTCGAGTTCCAGAATAAATTCTACAGCGGGACCGGTTTCAAGTTCCTACCCTTCTCCTTCGAGCACATCCTGGAAGGGAAGTTAGACGAGTGAGCCCGATGGGGACGTGTGCCCACTGCCCTCCCCCTCCCACTCCGTGGTGATAGCTGTGCTCCTCTCGCGTGTTGGTTGTGATCCCTGGATTCGGGGGCGTTTGTGTCATCCTTGCCACCCTCCCCCAGCTGCTTGTGAGATCCGGCCCTCCCTTGGGTCTCCTGCCTCCTCAGCTGTGCATATTGCAGTGTAGTGATCTAGAGAAGCTGGACTCTGGCTGTCACTCACACCACTGGGCACCAGCCTGCCCTCCATCTCCTCCGAGCCAGACCCTCCTCTCTGTCACCTGGTGGTGACTGTGTGCATTTCCATATGAGCCCAACGCCCAGGAGCACCTTCGCCATCCACACCCGGATTCTGAGTTTCTGCTCCTGCCATTCTAGTTACTGGTTGCGGTGGGGGTGCTCTTGGCACCCTTCCCTGGGGTTAGTAGGAGCAGATCCAGGAAGATGGTACTTATCTCCTCTGCCTCCCACCTCCGGTCTTCAGAGCAAAGACATTTGTTAATCAGGAATCCAGCTGGGCCACACTGTGCATGGCTTCTTGTCACCCCCAAGGGTCCCAGGGCACCCAACACCACCTCCCTAACCTCCACTCTATACTCAGACCTCTCCTCCTCCCTCCCAGAATCCCCTTCTTCTGCTCCCTCATTTGCATCCTGCATGATAGCACAGCTGGGAGAGACCCAAAACAGAGGGCCTGGCTAGCTGCTTCTCAGCCCATTCGAGGGCCCTGGCACTGACACGTCCTCTGGGCAGAGGGTTTAAATTGATGCTCTTCCTGGTGCAGACCAGGACCTTCCCCTACCCCCAAATCATGACTCTTGAGTGAAGGACGGTGATCGTCAAGGCTGGTTCTCTGGCAGGCCAGCCTTGCTCTGCCACTAGTGCCCCTCCCACTTCCACAGTGAGCCCAAGTGCGGGGAGTGAGGTCCTGGGCAGGGAGGGTCACTGTCATTTACCGTTTGCTGATGGGAGGCGACTGGCAGGGCTGCCAGGCATGTGGTTGTGAGAGCTGCACAGCCCTGCCTGTGAGCTGATGACGGCACCCCCGAGGGGCCGGCTCCGCTGTCACCCCCACACCAGCTGTGATCTTCGGGCCTTTTAAGCATGTGTTGACGCAGCAGCCCTGGCTGCTTCAGCTAAATTGATCCCGTCACTTTCAGTGGCCGAGATAATCCCCTGAATTGGCCAGGCCCTTGCCCTCTTCCTCCCTGACTTTCCTGAGGGAGCTACTTAGAGCTGCTCACTCAACCCTCCCAAGCGCGGCTGGCCTGGGTGTGGCCACCTGCCCCAGCCGCCCCAGGCGCACCATGTGCTGGCCAGTGTGACCTGACCCAGACCTTGTGCAGAGCCCCTCCCCTGTGGTCCCCATGGTTTACATGATGTGATGATCTTCGTTCTGTTGACAGCAGGGCTTGAAGTAGAGTTCTCTGTGTAAGGAACCCTGCCCAAGGCCCTTCTGTTCAGACATTCCTGTGCTGAATAAAGTGTGTTTGAGTCTACAGAGGGAGGCTGGCTGTCTCTGTACCCACAGCCCCTGCTTCGCACACTCTCCCCCGCCCTCCTCCAGCATTTCTGCTTCTCTGATCAAAGGCCACAGCTACCCAGGCCCTGACCAGGCAGTAAGTTTGAAATTCTCGCCTTATCTCAAGTTTCACAGGCACCTTCCCCCTCGCATGAGCCAAGGCAGCTTTGCAGGCACTACCCATGATGGGGAGGGGTCTTAGGAACCCGGCTTCGCCTCCCCTTCACACACTACACCCCCAAACAGCAGAGGGTCGTGGGGGTCTGGGCATCTGCCCTCTCCCTCTTTTCCAGTTGTGCTCTTCGGGGCTCAGCAGCCTGGCTGTTTTGAGCCCTGATGCCCTTGGCCTTGGTGTAAATGGAGGCTCAGCATGTGGTTTGGGGCAGCTGGAGAATGTGAGGTGCTGAGGTAGGCAGGTGGCTGAAGAGCCTGCAGACTGTCCAGGCAGGCGGGGTGGGCAGGGAGGGCACCTCTCCCTCCTCACTGCCATGTAAGGCATCCACATTCTTTCCCAGTGCCCTCCCTCCCGGGGCCTCCGGAGCAGGGGCTGCGCAGGAATTCGAGCAGCAGGCTGACAACTGCGGCTCCGGGAGGGGCAGGAAACCCCTGTTCATTTCATGTTCCTGTCCCCCCAGCCTCAAACCCTCTCCTTCCTAACAGGCCAGCTGCCCTGGAATAGGCCCTGGGTGCAGCACCTCCACCCGTCTCCTCCGAAAGTCCAGAGTGGAAATTCAGGTAAATGAGCTCTTTTAGCCTCTGCTCTGTTACTGACTCAAAAAGGGAGGCCTAACTGAAATAGATATTTGGGTGCTGGCTGGGTAGCTGAAGTGGTTAGAGCATCGTCCTGATACACTAAGGTTATGGGTTCGGTCCCAGATCAGGACACATACAAGAATCAATCAATGAATGCATCAATAAATGGAACAACAAATTGATGTTTCTCTCTCTTCCTCTCTCTAAAATCAACAAATAACTTTTTATAAATAAGTAAAATAGATATTTGGAATCAATGGAATAGAATTGAAATTGAGAGTCCAGAAATAAACCTTAATATTTATGGTCAATTGATTTTTTTTTTTTTTAGAATTTTTATTATTTTTTTTTAATTTCAGAAAGTGAGGGATAGGGAGAGAAAGATAGAAACATCAATGAGAGAATCACTGATCAGCTGCCTCCTGCACGCCCCATACTAGGGATTGAGCCCGCAACCTGGGCACTTGCCCTTGACCAGAATCAAACCTGGGACTCTTCAGTCTGCAGGCCAACCCTCTATCCACTGAGCCAAACCAGGTAGGGCATCAGTTGTTTTTCAACAAAGGGGCCAAGAAAATCCAAAAGAACGGGGAAAGAACAGTCTTTTCAACAAATAGTACTAGTACAACTGGGTATCCACATGTAAAAAAACAAATTTGGACCAGGACCCCACATTATGTACAAAAGTTAACTCAAAGTGAATCACGGACCTAAATGTAAGAGTTAAAACTAAACTCTTAAGAGGAAATCACGAGTCTTCATGCTGACCTTGGGCTAGGCAATGATTTTTAGATATGACAGCGAAAATAACAAATGATGAAGATAAGTTGGGCTTTAGGAAAATTAAAAAATGTTTTGGTTCAAAGGGAAAAATAAAGACATTCACACTAGGAGACAATATCTGCAAATCATACAGTTGACCCTTGAATAATGTGTGTGAACTGCAGGGGTCCACTTATACTTGGGGGTTTTTTTGTTGTTGTTTTTTTCAGTAAATATGCAGTCAGCCCTCTATGTCCCCAGGCTGAATGGCCAGTAAGCCCATGAAAAAATGATCAACATAATTAGTCATTAGAGAAATGCAAATCAAAACCATGAGGAGATACCACCTCACATCCACTAAAAAGGGTTATAAAAACGTTAATGACAAGTGCCAGCAAGGATGTGGAGTAATTGGAACTCCTACTCCCTGCTGGTAGGAATGTAAAATGGAAAGCAGTCTGGCAGTTCCTCAAAACGTTAAACAGAAGTAATATAAGACCCAGCAAGTTGACTCCTAGGTATCCACTGAAGAAAAATGAAAAGATGCGCACGCAGACTTGTACACAGTGTTCATAGTAGCATTTTTCATGGTAGCCCCCCAATGGAAACAACCCACATGTCCATCAGTTGGATAACAAAGGGCAGTCTATCCATATAATAGGTATTAACCTACAATAAAAAGGAATAAAGTGCTGCTACTTGCAACACTATGAATGGACCTCAGAAACAGGATGCTAAGAAACAGGACACAAGACCACATCATATGACTCCATTTCTGTGAAGTAGGCAAATCTATAGAGACAGAAAGCAGATGGGTAATTGCCTAGGACTGGCGGCTGGATGCATTTGGGGGCAGGATTAAAATAGGAGATCCCCTTCTCATGGAATCCCTGGATGCCAGACATCTGCTGAGTGAGTCTGTGCCCTGACCAGTGAATGCCCCTCATCTTGCGGTCCTAGAACCAGCATGGAAAGGGTGGCTTTGGGCCTGCTCAGTGCTATAAAGATGGGACAATTCCATCACCACCTTCAGGACCCACTCTCTGTCCGATTCATTGGGGACCTGGGTGGACTGTGCCTCTTTCTGTCCCAGGAGCCCTGGACAGAAGGGGCACTGGAGCTCCCCTCAGATCCAAGAGACCTGGCTGCCTTCCCAGCTCCCTGGCCTACCCAAGGCATGTCCTAGGCATTGGCTGCTCCCTGGTGGCCAGACCGGGAAGGACTCATTCCTCCTGGCTGGCAACGTGAGTGCGATCCTAGCTGGGCTGTGACAGGCAACTGGATTGGCTGGGCATTATCCTGGGGCACATAGGCAGAGGGGCCAGGAACAGAAGAGGACATGATGAGATGGAGAGAGGAGAGCCAGGCCTACTTGTTTCACACACATTAATTGAAAAAGTAAAGTCCTCCCACCCCCAGCATCCTAGTACTCCATGGGAGGCAACCACTGTTTTCATAGCCTTTAAAAAAAGATGCACACAACCCTAGCAGGTTGCTCAGTGGTTAGAGCATTGGCCCACAAACTGAAGGGTTGCGGGTTCAATTCTGATTAAGGGCATATACCTCGGTTTCAGGCTTGTTCCTTGGCCCCAGTCGGGGACGTATGGGAGGCAACCAATCTGTCTCTCTCATATCCACATTGATGTTTCTCTGCCCCCCTTCCACTGTCTCTAAAAAAAAACACAAAAATTATTGAAAAATATATCCTCAGGTGAGGATTAACAACAACAAATAAAAAATACCCACACAAATGCGAGTGTACTATATCCACTGGTTTGACCATTTGCAGAACATTCCAAATCATTAACACATCTTCCTCATTTTTCAGTAAATGCTTAACAGTTCATACTTAAATTTCTTCAATCAGCCCCCTCCTGTTGTCAAAGAGCTCCCAGCCTGACGGGGAAGATGAGAAAAGAGTGTGACACGCTTGGAGCCATCCCTGAAGCTCCTCCCCAGCATCTACGAACTCAGGCGTTAAATGTACTACCAACCCCTGGATGGTGTCCCCAATCTACTGCCCCCACCACCACCACTCTGGGTGAATCCAGACCCCACAGAGAGCCCCAACTCCCCCACCCACGTGTTCCCTGAGATCCAGAAATGCCAGTCAAACAGGTCCAGGCAGGCGGAGAACCTGACAAGGCTCACCTGGAGAAAGGGGTGTCCAGAGGGAAAATGGGGTGCGAGTGAGGGATGCTGGAGAGGAGTGGAGAAGGGCCTGGGCGGAGGTGTTGCAGGCTGTAGCCCCCTGAGAGCACATCTCTCCGGGCCGGTCTTGGAAGTGCTCCCTGAGAAAGGCTGAACCTTTTCACACCAGGAACTGAGTGAGCAGGGGCTGCACCTCCTGAGAGCTGCTCAGAGCCAGGAGCAAGGCAGGGCCTGCAGCTGTGTCTGGAGCCGGGGAGCCGGCAAGCCCACTGGACTCCCTTGTTCTTTTTCAGTCCAGACTCCAGACTCTCTGGATTGGCAATCCTCCTCTGCTCCCTTTCCTGTCCCTAAAGGCCTGACATTCTGGAAAAATCTACACCTGTCTCCAAAAGGATTCAAAATCCTGTTAGAAACAGTTTTTCTAAAGGCCCCACCACAAAGCCCCACTCAACCCCTCCCTGCCAGAGAGGCAGCCTGAAAAGTAGAGGCACTTGGGCAATAGCGGCCAGAAGGCTGGTCTCGGGAGTTCCGGTTCTAGTCCCAGACCTGCTCTCCTACCGCTATTGGCCTCGTCTGAGTCATTTCCTTTCTCTGGCCCTCAGTTCCCCAATATGTAAAATGAAGATAACGCCTTAAGGATCCCAGAAGAGACCTCGCATGTCCACCAGGCCCTGCCCCGCCGCCAGCCCACGCTCCATGGCCCACTGCCCCTCCAGCTTTGTGCACGCTCTGTTAATTCCTCAAACCTGCCCAGCTCCTCCATTATCCTTCGGGGATCTTCATATACACATTGTCTCTGCCTGGGGTGCTTCCCCTGTCTCTTCTGCTAGTCGATCCCAATGAACTCGGATTAAACATCACTTCCTTTTGGAAGAAGCCTTAGGCTGGGCGCCCTTACATTTCTTCACACCATCACAGCTAATGTAAGTCTTCCCTAAGTACTGCCCATGGTTTCTAGGTCCCCCGGAGAGGGGTGGCGTGCCTGGTACTAAACAAACTCCGCATATTTACTGGGTGTTTGGATGAACGGGAGGAAAGCGATTCGCGTGTGAAAGCGCGTCGGGTCTGAAGACGCCCGTGAAGGATCGCGGGTCACACCGGCTCCAGGCTCCCGAGGTTGCCGGGGTCACGCGCGCCGGCACCACGAGCGGTCAGCAGACACCCTCGGGCGGCGTCTGGGACCCGGAAGCCGCTCTCCCGGCTGCCCGCGGTGTTTTGCTTTCGGTTCCACGTGACCTGAGACTCGCCGCGGATTGGGCCCGGGGCGCCCCGCCCCCCGGGCCCGAGTCCCGAATAGGTTTCCCGCGGGACCGCGGCCGGGTGGAGACCGCGGACCATGCAGGCGGCGGCAGCGGCCGCGGCGCTGGGGTTCCTGCTCCTGCTCCTGGCGGGGGCCTCGGCCGGGGACGAGGCCCGAGAGGCGGAGGCCGTGCGGGCGCTGCTGGCCCGACTGCTGGGACCCGGGCCGGCGGCCGCCTTCTCGGTGTCGGTGCAGCGCTCCCTGGCGGCCGAGTCCGGCCTGGACACCTACCGCCTGAGCGGCGGCGGCGGGGCGCCAGTGCGGGTGCTCGGCTCCACGGGCGTGGCGGCCGCCGCCGGCCTGCACCGCTACCTGCGCGACTTCTGCGGCTGCCACGTGGCCTGGTCGGGCTCTCAGCTGCACCTGCCGCAGCCGCTGCCCGCCGTGCCCGACGAGCTGACCGAGGCCACGCCCAACAGGTACCGGCGGGACCGCCCGTCGGCCCCCCTGCAGCTGCCTCCAGCCTGCAGCCCGCGCTCACCTGGCTGCAGTCCCGCCCCACCCCAGCGCCACGCTGGTAGGAAGCGCTAGCCCTTGGGTACCTCTGGCTTCAGATCCCCGCTCTGCCTTGTCCAACTAACAAAAACAATCTAGGCTTTGGCTGGAAAGACATGATAAGGATTTATTCAAGGGTCTTAGAACCGGAAACACAACGAAGCAATAGTTAGAGTGTTCCCAAGAAGAAAAAAACTGAGTTCTTATAGTAAAAAGTACATTCTTCCGCGATCAGACGAGATCGGAAGCATTCAGGGTGGTATGGCCCTAGATGTAAAAGGTACATTCTTGAAAAGAATCAGCTTGCATTCTTTTTTTAAAATGTTTTTAACATATTTTTACTGATTTCAGAGAGGAAGGGAGAGAGATAGAAACATCAATGATGAGAAAGAATCATTGGTCAGCCCGGGCCTGTGCCCTGACCGGGAATCACACTGCGACCTCCCGGCTCATATGTGGATGCTCAACCACCGAGCCCCACCGGCTGGGCTCACCTCGCATTCCTACCTCTTAGCTCTGCCCGGGGGATCCCCACGTGAAGCAGTAGAGAGACCACATTTGGAACCCCTCCCTCTGGGCTAGATCTGGGAGGCGGGCGGGCCTTCTGGAGCTCTTCCAGGACGATGGATGTCAGGGGAGAGGAACATCCTTTTTGCGCTGAAGGACACACCCCAGCTCATGCCCCTGCCCACAGGTACCGCTATTACCAGAACGGGTGCACCCACAGCTACTCCTTCGGTGGGGGGACTGGGCCCGCTGGGACAGAGATTGACTGGATGCACTGAACGCATCAACTTGGCACTGGCCTGGACGGCCAGGAGGC